ATCATAGCAATAAAAGCAGTGCCGCCATCAGAACAGCTGGAAGACGACACATCTGCTGCTGAGGAGATCAAAGAAGACGAGAAGGAAAAGAAACAGAAGAAACAGAAGTACAGAATAAGTGGTTCAAAGAAAAAAGCTCAAATTTGACGACCGTTTGTCTTAAAAACAGAACTTTAGCTCTCATGCTGCATCCAATGTTTCGAGGAGCTGACGCCATAATATGCATGACGTGAGACACAGAAGACTCCAAACATGTTTGACACTCTGTTTCTGTGCTCACCGTCACTTCATCATCACATGACGGAAAACATCAAACTTGTGATGTGTTCAGGAGTTTTCATCTATGAGGGAACTGCAGTGACGTCACAGAAAAAACTAAAAACCCTGCAGTTTGTTTCGCAGCACTTCCAGACTCACACACTGCATCGTGTGGTAAAGGCTTTACCCACTGGAGGGAACCACAGATCTGACTGTTGTGATAAAGCAGAGTGCACGTCAGCCTGTGGGTCACTTTTAAAGAGGAAGTTCAGAAATGTAAAATGAGTCATGTGACCTTCCTTATGCGTTTGCTTCTTTGAGTCTGTCAGCTACCTCCGCATTATCTGGAGGATGTTAGGAAGTTAATGATTGTTGCGACTCAACAGACGGACGTGCTTTCAGCTTTTCTAGTGTGTTATTTTCCTCATGTGTGTCATTGCCTTCAGTTTACATCCATGTTTATCGACCATCCAGTTTCATGTTGTGCTTTGTGCTGCACAACTGATGAAGTTCAGAATCACATTTATTTAAGTTTGTGCACAAACCAGTGTCACAGCTTATAACTGAGGTGTGAGGGGTCGGCAGCAAGCTTCCACTTTCCACTGCAGAAAGACTTCAGATTGTTTGGAAGTGACCTTACAACCTTTCTCAGAGTGAAGAGCAACAGCCTGGCTTTGATTAGATTCATGTAGTGTCTTTGAAAAGTGTACAACATAATGAAATGAAGTTTAGCATCTAATCCAAAGTGTAAACTATGTGTGTAGATGTATTTGTATATACAATATACACACACACACACACACCAATTACAAGATGTACAGTATTTGCATGCAATATTAAAATACGCGGTGTGTATGATGTCCATGTGTACAGGGCTTTAGTTTTGCAGTTTTACTTTCAGTTCAGCAGAATGTTCAGCTGGATCTAAAACTCTGGTGTGATTACAGCGAGGGCGATCAGAGTGTGACGCATGCTGGGTCACTCTCACAGGTAACAGACTCACAGTGTAAGACAGAGACGGCGATCACTGGATTTGATGGTTTTATTATCAGACACAAAACACACTGATCAGTAAGTGTGTCATCTGTGAGATTTGTGACCTGCAGCAGTCTCTGTTAGTAACGCTTCACAGTTTGTGTAATCTGAAGCCAGACTGTGCAGTTAAGACAAGTAAAAACTTGTTTCATTCAGAATCTGATGCCAACTTACCAGAGCATCCAGTTTGACCACAGCAGAGCCCAAAGACGATGACGTGCTGCCTTTCTGCTGGTTTTTTATCTCTGCTGAGCTCCAGCAAACTCTCATAACGACTTTATAACGACCGATTTACTGTAAAACTCAGGACAACAGGAGTTACAGTCTGCACCACTGCGGTAAGCCTTTTTTAATATATAATAATGTGTCTGTGTGTCTCTGTTTCGCTGTAGAGTTCCTGGTGAGTGTGATGGTGCACGTCCAGCTTTAGCAGACCGATGAACAGGTGAACACAGCGGACATGTTTCAGCATTAGCAGCATCATAAACAAACATGTTCTAAAAACGATATTTAAATATGAATTATGGTCTTAACAACAAATTTTCTCTTATAAAGTCAGACTTTCTGTCCACATTACTTTGATTTTTACTAGAAGTAATTTGTCAAAAAGACACAAAACACAGAACTGTTTCTTTTTCCAGATATTTTTCTTTTATTGGCGTTCTGAATAACACACAAACCCACCCTATAAAACCACCCTGTTGCTTTACAGAGCGTCCTGGGGTGGAGTCAGATTCCCACGCTTACGTTGTTATTTTTGCTCGTCTTGGTTCAAATTGTTTCTACTGATTGAAGGTGGATCAGGTTTGTTTATTTGACCTAAAATCATGCAAAGAAATCACATTATACAGAGTACACACTTGCCTGTGTCGGACTGTGACGTCATTGTTAACACGAGCCACGATCCTTGATCCGAGCTCATGAGGTCGTCATTAAATTAAAAGCAACTCTAACTATGCACATCTTACATTTACATTTGTTAAAGTTACACTTACACTCTGTGGTCTCGCTTCATGTTGTGTCAGTGTGATATTGTGGAAACACCTAAGTGGACAATAAATCTTTCCATATGTAGGCTTACTGATACAAGATGCAAACCGGTGTCTCTCTGTGCTCACGTGCAATATGAGCACAGACTGTTTTACATTTGTTTGTTTTTTATTATCATTATTAATGTGAGATTAATCAGCTCTGTCTGTTTGATAGTCCACCGTTCACAGGTTTCAAGATGCGTTATCTTCAAACTTTGCCACAATAAACTAGGCCTTCAGGGTCATGAGTAGCTAGGCTGGCTAAACATTTAAACCTTGACCTTTATTGTTCTTGCACCCAAAGTCAAAGTTAACCTTGGAAAATTATTTCAAGAAACCATCTTGAGTAATATATCATATGAAAAGGCGTGGAGAGAGCCATACGACACACTTTTTATTTTTTCAATTTGACGCCCTACAACGTCCCAGTGACACCATAACAGGCTGATGTCTGCCTTTCACTCTCTGGGTGGAGGTCTGTGATGAAAACAGAAGCATTAGGGCAAGGTGTGAAAGACAGATGCTAATGTGTTCTATGGCAAAGAATAAAAGCATGAAAGATGTGTGTCTAAGTTAATTTGATCCATTTATTAATTAATTTAAGCAGTCACCTCAACACACTTTATATTGTGAGGTATAGACTCTACAATAATACAGAGAAACCCCGGCAATCCACTATGAGCAAGCACTTGGTGACAGGGAGAAGAAGAAAACCTGTTGTAGAAGCAGACTCAGGGAGGGACGACCAATCATATATGACATATTTTAGTCATATTTCGATGACTAAAGAAAGACATAAAATATGTTCTCATCAGTCCATGTTGAACTTTATTTTGAACTTATATTCATATGAAGATAAGTTCATATTGAATCAAAAATAAAACAGGGTTTGTGCATCATGTAACCTCTGAGACTGTGGGGTTTCAGGCCCAGTGTTGATGTCTAAGCGAGGGTCTGAAACCTTTCCATTGCTGGAAACATGTCACAGTTCTGATTATAATATTTACAGACAGTTTCAGCCTCCGTTCTGCGGCAGATTGCAGTTAAGTGTTGAGAGAGAGGAATGAAAATTAACACCTAAGTGGACAAGTTCAAGTATCTCAACGTTCTATTTATAGCAATGCGGTGAGAGTGGATCGACAGACTGGTGCAGCGTCTGCAGAGATGTGGCCTGAGAGAAAACTGTAAGCTGTTGGTTTACTGGTCGGTCAACATTCCTAACCTCACCCAGGAGTGACATTTCAGAAACAAACAACTTTAAAATGTGTTTGAGCGCTCACTTAGAGAAAGTTCAGACACGTGTTGTTGTGTTTACTTCAATCATTTTATTTGAACTGACAAAACAATTTCCCAAATCTCTGATGAATAATTTTGATCATATCTTTTCATTAAATGCAGTAATGATGATCTTTTGAATGACCTTTATTTTGTTTTGTTTTTTATAAAGACTGAACATCACTCATTACAAAATAGAAAACAAATTTAGAATGGACCTAAAAGGGAAGTTTTTTTTTTCTAGAAATAACTATATTACCGAATCAGTTTCACAATACCAGACTGTTAGCATGCTTCACTGAGAGCTGAAGAGAGTAAAAGCCTTTTGTTTTGACTTTCAGATAAGAAGCGAAGGATGTCTCTTCAGGAGATCTTCTGGAGACCGTCAGCTGTCACTTCTGTTTTGGTGCTTCTAACACTTCTCTTCTGCAGAGGTAAACCTCTGATGTTCCTGTACACTATCTCAGACACCTGGTTGTGCTTGCATTGTGCCCATTCCCAGCTTGTACCTTACCTCATGTTGCTATGTGTCAGATAGTCTCTGGGACACCTTGGGGCAGCCTGTAGCTCTGGTCCTGTTGGCTGTGGTAGAGTCTTAGCTCTATGGATCTGATCTTAGGGCCTCTTCTTGTGCTGCCATGATCAGAGCCTCTGTACAGTCCTGTAAGGTGGTCTTTTCCAACCACTGGTAGGATTTCTTGATACCAGCCATTTCCTCAATCGATCGATGGTACATCCCATGCAGGTGTTTGGTCGTCCATGACAGTTTCTGTCCTGTTCCTCCTCATTGTCCTCTTCAGCTAGCTGATGGAGTCTTGAAGCAGCTGATCTCAGGGGGGCTTTTTCCTGATGTATTCATGGATTGTTCGTGTTTAATCCTGGATTGTGGTTCTGCCACATGAATTCTCACGATTTCTCTGTTGCTCATAGAGCATCAGGATGCTGGACTTTGGGTGGAATCCTGCACGCATAATAATCTGTATCTGTCTTTACATCAGTCACATATATCTTCTCATGTGATGATTTTGTTACTGCATCTGAGTATCTTATGACTGTTATGAAATAGTATGTATAAAACATGTCAGGTCCTGATGCTGTCCAGCTCTTCATTCTGGAGACTCATTGTTAGTTGTCTGCATTTCTGATGTTGACTGACTCTCTGTGGTCTACTCTTAGGTCCACCACCCACTTGCTGTTAGTGTTGTGTGATGTGCCCTTCTCCCAGATGTTCTTGCAGACCTTGTTCTAGTCTTCTCTTGAAGCTGAGAGTACACCTTGGACTAATATTTGGAGAGCAGCCTATTTACTCTCCAGGCCTCTGCTTCTCTGGCATATCTCTTCAGCCTCAAACGAGTGAACAGACCTGTGAGCAGTTGTTTGGCACTTTTTAGAATCTCAGTCATGAACATCTTGCTCTTCATCATATCATCCAGGACCCGTCTTATAAAGCTCTACGGAGTGGAGAAGTTTCAATGTGTGAGACAAAAACTGGCTTTTTTTTTTGCATATGAACCCTAAAAGATCAATTCTGCTGGAGGCGTAACACAAGGTAACAATGGTAATATTTTTATTTTAAAAAATGGATTTTACTAATTATAGAAGCATCTAGAGACATCAAACTCTTTTTTTACTGTGAAGAATGAGGTGAAATTAAAGAAAAAGCTTTGAAAAAGGTCTATCCAATTACCCTGCATGCAATGGCTCAGTGGTTTCTCTCGTCTCCCTTCCTCAGGGTCAGTCTCTACACCAGTCATAAAGGTGATGTCAAATGTCAGCAGCAGGGTGGTGTTACAGTGTGAGTCTGCAGGCCGGTATCCAGAGCCTGAGCTGCTGTGGTTGGACGGTGAGGGAAACCTCCTCTCTGCTGGACCTACAGAGACCCTCAGAGGTCCTGATGACCTCTATACTGTCAGCAGCAGAGTGACTGTGGAGAAGAGACACAGCAACAACATCACCTGCAGAGTCCAACAGAGGAACACCAACCAGAGCAGAGAGACACACATACATGTTCCAGGTATGATTCACATTCAGAAACTATTTTATTATTTCACCCTCATCATGTGCAGTTTGAACCAAATCAGAGCTAGTTTTACAGGAATAACTTGTATTTCTTTATCTTTTAAGGCTCTGCTGTCAGGAAGGAACCATCGGCCACTTTCATCATCGTGATCATTGGCCTGCTGTACGTTGGCGCTGCTATCGCTTTCGTTTGGAATTTCATGCTATCAAAAAAACCTGGTGCGTCACACGTTTGTTTCCCTTCTCTATTTTTTCTGGAGTTTCAAAGGCTGAATTTCTGAGACTAAACTGAGCACAGTGTCAGCTTTGTTTCCCTTTATAGGAGTCTGAATATGTTCGTTCATGGACAGTAATGCTGCTCTGGACTTTGGAAATTAACAAGTGATCATTTCAGCATTATCTTACCTGAATGAATATTTTATTCTCACACTGCTCAGTTTCCAGTTTATGATTGCTCAGTATTTTTACACTGTGGTTCAGGGATGAATGTAACATGACAGGATCTTGCAAAGAAAAGCGTCTGGACTTCTTTAAGGCCCCACCTTGCATGATAAGGTGGGGCCAGGTTTCACAATGAACTCACCCAAAACTCTGGCTGATTGGAGCCCACACCCAGTTTCACACCTTGGCTCAGGTGATTAGAGGATCATCAGGGGGTCCATTTGTCCCTCTGTGGGGGGAAACTCCCACTAGGTTTATATCTGGGACTCTCCACCATTTGACCTTAGAACTGAAGAAGCTTCTCGGATGAGAGGTGAAACGTCTTCAAGTAACTTAAAGAAGTCCAGACGCTTTTCTTTGCAAGCTTCTTTGACTACGATGACCTGGATGACTGAGAACCTTCACAGACATTACAGGATCTTAACCAGCAGGAGGGACCAGAGGGAGTGTCAGTGGGGTTAAACAGGAATATAAATCAACAAACGCATGATAATTGCTCTGACTAATGCATACTTTTATTTTAATGTTCCCACACAGTTACAGGTATTTTATGGTCACATAAAAATTTCAATAGGAAAGCTGTATTCAAACACACAAACACATGTATATGTATGACACTTTTCCTTTCTGTGTTTAGACACCAAGGTGAATGAAACTGAGCTGAAAACAATGAAACAAAAACGCAGCAGAGCTCGTGGTGACGACACCGAGAACAAAGAAATAAAAGAAGAGCCGCCATCAGAACAGCTGGAAGACGACACATCTGCTGTTGACATGAGTGAGGTGATCAAAGAGGGCGAGGAAAACCAGGAAACAGAGACTCGGAGTATGGCACAGTCAGCCTTAACCAGCAGTGAAAACTAAAGAACAAGAAGCTCTCTGAGAGCACAAACCTCAGGCAGCTCGCTGTTTGTGCAGTGCTTACTTTTAAGCAAGAATAGTGTATTTTTATATAACATTACACTGGAGTAGGATAATAAGTATGTGAAAATAAATGGACATTAATGACTTGAACTTATTATGTAATATTGTACTGCATTATATTTATAACTAACTCATTCATTCTCCTGACAATACTTTAAAGATTTAACACATTTTGGGGTCAACGTGAAAGAAAGACAGATGTGAAATGTAAAAGTGAGGTCAGAGGTCAAAACTGACATCCTATTTTAAATGTACTTTCTATATGTTAACGATACACACATACACACCACACTTGTAAGAATCATAAAGTTTAACTCTTTTTTGTTAGTTTTCCATCAGTAAACCATCAAACATGACCCCACTCTGAATCCCTGAAAGTTTTATCAGAAGTCATTCAAACTTTTCCAGCTCTGGTGTTTACAGATGCAATGACCCACAGAGACGATCAGATGATAGAAAAGTCCAAACTCATGATGTTTTTAATTGCGTTTCACTTTCAGTTACTTTTTTGCTTTTGATTATCTGCTGACAATTCATTTCACTTTTCTTTATGCAGCATCAAATCACATCAGCAGTTAACTTCCAGGTTAACACATTACATTGTGTGTTCCCACTAGAGGGAGCTACATAGCAATCTGCTGCTATGACACCAGGATAAAGCAGGTTGTGTTTACAGCACAGCAAAGAGCCAGAGGACATACAAAGATGTTCAGAAATATAAAATGTGGAACTTCCTGTTGATGTGACCTTCCTCTTGTGCATTTGGTTTTGTGGTTCTTCTTTGGGCGTCGACTGTATCTCTGTCAAAGCTGATGGATGGTTAGAGGGTCGTGATTGTTGATTTGTTGATGCCAACACAATCAGATGATCCCAAAGACACCAGTGTGTGTTTTTAAATGAGTCAGTGTGGAGTAAAGTTCCTTTACTGTTTAATGGTACAGTGTGCCACACATGTTTTCATCTGTTTTTTCTAATGTGTGTCATTGCCTCCTGTTTAAAGCCACATTTATGGGCCATCCAGGCACTATGTGTTTGTTTTTGTGTTGTTTCTCTTGGTTTTGTAAATGATTTCTGTTTTTGTAAATAAAGTTTCTAAGTTACTCCCTTATCCTGCCTCCACAGTCGAGCTGTGACAGTATTTATGTCTGACTAAATACACCCACTGAACAGAGAGTACACACGCTGTCCATTCTGAGGGTTACATAACAGGACATACAAAAAATAAAAAAGCTCTTAATTTTTTTTTATATAAAACCTCAAATAAACAAAAGCACATATTATGCCCTGTTGTTGTTTATTTAATAGAAAATAAGTCAAACTACAGAAGCAGTCCTGCAAAAAACTGAGCACAGACTCTTATTCAGTACCACACATAGTAGGATTAACTTGATGTAATAGTTTTGGTATGATTTTATGGGTCATCTTTACATCCTGACATGAAAGTATTTGTTCATGCACAGCTCTCTGAAGGTCCCACAACAGTATTTGAGTCAGGCTGAGGTTTGGACTGACCGGCTCATTGCTGCATTTTGGTTCTTTTCACTTTCAGTGGTGTAGATTTGCTGCTGTGCTTGGGATCACTTTCCCTGATGATCCAGTTTCAGCCAAGCTTTAATATAATACTTTGGCGTACAGAGAAATTGATGTTGAACTCAATAGCTGTGAGGTGCCTGAATCATCACGCCTCCAACACCGGGCTGTCAGCTGTGACGAAGCATGAAGTGAGCTTTGTAAATGTTGTCCTGGTACGTTTATGGGCTCAGTCTCATTTAAGGTCAAACTAAATGAAACATGGAGTCAGTTTTTAAAGCCCTAAAGAACAGGGTCAGAGATTAAATTTGATCCACTGTGACAGAAAGTTTTGTATTTATAGCAACCCATGAAAACATCACAGGCTGTGTCTCACACTAAACACAGTCTTTACTGAATACACACTGCAGAATCAGGTTGTATGGGGAAAGCACCACTCTCTGGGTAATGATAGTTTATAGCAGATATAAGCTGTAATTCTTAGTAATCATACAAGGTTTTTCTACAGAGGCCTGTGGGAAGAGACATTTGCTGCAAGCAAGGAAGCAGAATCGACTCCACATGGAAGCAGTTGCTACAGTACTGTTCAAAAGTTCTGAGTCACCCTTCATTTTTCTTATATTTTGGAGAAAAGTAAGAAATTTGGGCCACTTTTATTTCCTTTAAGTGGTTTCACGAATTGTTCTCCGGGCTTTTTGAAGGATATTTTCCTTGGGGGAGGCCAATCCATGACTAAAAGTCAATTGTCAGCACCAGTCAGATGATTTCCAGGTGGTCTAACATTGTGGATCCAAATCTGATGGTACTTCTCTGTCTCCAACACCACCGGCTGAAATGCAGTTTCAAACCATGGCAGAGCCTCCACCGTGTTTCACAGATAACTGCAGACACTCCATGCATATTGACAATGATTTAAACCAAACATTTCAAGTTTGGTGTCATCACTCCACAAGATGTATTGAATCTGTTTTTGTCCAGTTCTTGTGTCATTTGTCATGCTTCAGCCTGTTTCCCTACCTAATGGCTTCTTGACAGCCACCTTTCCACTGAGACCATATCTGATGAGGGCTTCAGGAAACAGTAGCTGGATCAACAGACAGTTGCGTCTCAGGTCCTATTTCAGCTCAGTCTGCTGTAGATATTTTTTTAGGCCTGTCACTACTTCTTTCATCCTCCACTTGGCCAGTTTCTTCCAACTCGGCTGGGTGTGGAGTGTTTCCTTTTTAGGCATAAACTGCACAACCCACCTACACATGCCAAGTTTTAGGCTAATAACTCTGAGTGCTCTTGTCTATGCTGGATAAATGTTTGGTTCCTCAGTCTCGTCATGCTGCATTTTTCTAGCCTTTTAGGGTTGTGGGCATTATCAATGTCATGTATGAAAGATACACAACAGAACAGAAATACAAAGAACACAAAGAACTTTAATTTGGAACAACAGCAGAAAGAGTCAGCTCTGAGATTAAACAGAAACATTCTTTGAAATAAATTAAACAGCACAAACGTGGCAATAATTAAATAATAATATAATACTTATTTTTTTGCCTAAGTTTCACAGAAGGCAGCAGAAATAAACAGCACAAACAACAAACAGCATAAATATGGAGCTGCACTGTCTACATGTTGGCGGATCCAGAACGTCAAATGAATATCTGCAGTTTCAAGTTTCAGTTCATGGCCGTTCACACCCTAAAGGGTGGATCTGAGGGTAACCATGAATAAAAGGAGTAGTGAGACCAAGTTTGATTTAGATCCATGATCACTGAGCTATTTTTAATTAAAATTTTAATTCCAATGTATAATCTATTAATAGAGTCTCCATAAATTATGTTTTTGGTACTTCAGAGGTCTTTGGTGTCCTTCCAGTCTTCAATGTCTCCAACATGTTTTTCGACTCAGTTTCTACTTCAGTCCTTCCACATGATGTGTGACTGAACTGTTCCCACTGAAAATGTCTTTCCAAGGCTGTGGGTTGGAAATATCCAGTAAACTGTGACCAATAAACCAGCATGTTCATTTCAGTTCAACACAGTGAAAACCATGAAGGACTTTCCCACTTAACCTCCTAAGACCCGAACTCTTCCACAGCATGCATTTTTAATTTCTCTTTGATATTTGGGCTGATTGGGACCCGATGAATGTAAAAACAAAGACTTACCAGACTTTTTCTTTACCTGATTTTTGTTTCTAAGAAAAATGAGAGCCACATACGAGCATATTTATTTAAAATTTCAATAGAACAGTAGCAGTATAATGTCCTCATAAGTGAATATCAGGCCCTTGTAAAGAAAAATTGAGTATTTTGTTCAAAATAACCCAAAATGTGATGTTCACATATGTGGACGCCAGGTCCTAGATTAAATTTGTCCACTGGAGGTCATTCAGAAGCTTACTGAAAGATTCAAGGTGACCTTGACCAGCAAGATGTACAATTTAAATAAATGAGAACATTAAACCTGACAGTAATAAATAATGCTCTTTATCCTGCTAAGTGTTGATCTCCAGACTGAACTTCAGGTCTCTAATGAAGTCCAAGCAGTCCTCCAGTGTTTGACAGAGAGCTACAAGTGAAAAAAGAAAGTACAAAGAGGGTGAAAGAGATGGACCAAAGAACAAAACTGCAACGACATGATAGAGTCACATTCAAACTAGCCTCTAGTCTCTCATCCAGATCACCACACCCTGAACCCACTGCTCCACCCCTCCCCTGCAGCTGAGCCACAAACCACACCACAACTACAAAGAGGTGAAGCTTGGACATCTCTGCTGGCACATCCTCCTTTGAGCCTTTGAACTCAAAAGTTAAAAGTTGCAATAAATATTCAACTAGTGTACAATTATAGAGGATGAACACATCCATAGAAATTGAAACTGTTTTTGTAGCTGGCTATGAAGACGTGGATTTCTGCTGGCTTTTAACATGACAGTCTGTGAGGGCTGACTTGAGTAGATGAACTGCAGTTTGGGGCATTTTCACCCCTGCTTGGCATTAGCTCAGTGTACATGTTGGTTTTTAAACAATCATTAGGGTTAGATCGAAATAATGTTGCTGACAAGGAATGGAAAATAATTTAACCATTGGTTTTAGACTGGCTACTTCACTGCATCTGAATCCAATTTAAAGAATAACTACATGTGGCTTGTTTCATATATTTACTGTTTAGATATCCAGATTTTGCACGCTGTGTTTTTTCTGATACAACACTTGAGTCTTCACCTGAGGTCGAAGTTTAAATCAGACTCCGTTTATAGAAGTGACCTTATGATGGGTCTCAGTGCTGCTGGGCCAAGTGTCTTCCTGTGGCTGCTGGTTTGAACCTCCAACCTGACTATCAGGATCCAGCAGAGCCAGAAAAGGTAAATCTCCAATGCTCTCAGGTCCATTAACACCAACCCTCCTTTGAACTCCTGGAATTGTTATGGTTGGTTTGGGTCACTTTGTCGCCTTGATGCTTCTGTTGAAAGAAGTTGAATAATAAGTCAGTCTGATGGCAGAAGAAGCAACAACATGTTTGTGTTTGTTTGTTTCTGATATACATTTTATTTGACGGCGAGAGAAATACGCAGTCACAGCCACAACCGACACAAAGGCAGTAACTACGACAACCAGAAAGACCCTGGACCGACCTGCTGATATATAAAAAAGAAAAAAAATGAACAAGGTCACCACACAAAACATCTCACCCAAACAAAAACAATGCAGAGAAAATGTGGGTTGTTATCTCACTATTTCTTGGAGACATCTCACGAGGATCTGGAGTTCTGAAGTTTCTAGGATACACCGGACTCTCTGTCGTAGAGGTCTTAGCGTACTTTAGATCTATAATATAGTCATGATCTGTTCACATGAAGGTTTGGAAATGAGTTGAAAACAAAAGCGTACCAAAACAAATCCTCTCACCGACTACAAGTTCAACAACAGCAGCTTTCACTCTGCTCTGCAGCTTGGGGATGAAACATCTGTATCTGCCGTTGTCTTCCTTCGACACGTTCAGGATCTTCAGTGAAATGTTCCCGTGTTTCATGTCGTCCATGAACAGCTCCGTCCTCCTGAAGTACGAGGCCATCTTCATGTCGGGGACCTCCTGCCTGTCCCTGTACAGGTGAACGTACTCCACTCGGCTCAGCCGGTCCGACGGGTCGGGCTTCAGGTCGGGTTTGGACCACTCCACCGTCAGACCCTGGACATCGAACATGGGCTCCAGGTGACACGGCAGGATGACATCATCACCCGGAGCGGCGATGATTGGAAGATTTGAACCAATCACCAGAACCTCACCTGGAAATATGGAAAATTAAACGTCTTGAACTCCACAGACCCCTGTAGAGTTACACACTGACGAAATAAACGCTAACAACAGTTGGCTCTGCCACTTTATACTGTAAAGTGAAAACTCTACAGTGATCCGGAGAAATCAAAAGAACCTCTAAGAAAAAGCACTTGGTAATAAAAAAAAAGAACTTTATTTTAACAGGAAGATTTCTCTGACAGAACCAGGCTCAGGGAGGTGCAGCCTCATAAAGAGCATAAAGATGAATTATGTTTAACTGTGTCATGGTCACCTTTTTGTTTTTACTGCTGAACAACTCATGTTAGCATCCTGACATTAGCGAGTCTCACCACTGGACTGCCTTCGTTAATGTGTGATTTTAACCTCAGCAAATAACCTGTTATTATAGGAGTCTGTGCAGTAAATACAGACACTCTGTGATGTTGCTCATTCATTTAACTCTTTTAAATAACAGCTGTCAACTGTGACTGCAGACACAGTGTCAGCTGTTAAATGACTGTGTAGAAAAGTAGTTTGTGGTTCCAGCCTCGTCAACTTTTATTTTAAACTGATGACAGCTGCTGCCTCTGGGAGAAATATAAACTTCACACTTAAACTGTTGAGTCATGTGGAGCCTAAATGATGTGACACTGAAATATTGAAGAAAATAAGTCACACACATCTCTGAGACCAGCCAACAAACTGAACGAGTATCTCTGAGCAGCTACAGATTCATCTGAGATGAGACACGTGCACATTCATCTTAGTCAGTATTTTTTGAAGCTTTTAGCTCTGCTTGAATGTGTGAGGGGGTTTTCTTGGTTTCTTCAGATTCAATACTTTGAGTCCTTTATAAATGTACATGTTCTAAAGCTAAACTTTCTTTCTAAAAAGAAAATTACTTAATTTTGTGCTTTTATGACTTTTGTATGTTTTAAATGTTGCTATTAAGTTGGAAAGAAGGTCTCTATCACAGATAGCTGTAAATTCCTTAGATATCAGGACACAAAGACACGACACATTTTCAGATGATCATCGGTTTTTAATCTTTGATTGTTTGAAGTTTATTGACATTAAACCTCCATAAAAGTACCAAACTTGACAGAAAAACTTTGCTCATCATGAATGCAGAAGTTACCTGTCATCACCTTCAGTGACGCCACAGTAAGAAGTAGTGGCTCTACTGAATCTGGCAATCTGGCCCAAACAGCTATTATGTTATGACATCTTTCTTAAAGTTATTTGTTGTGCAACGTTTAATTAAGATCATTATTTACCTTGAACAGGAGTCCTGACGATGAAAGCCGAGCACAGGATTAAAGTCCAGAGTGGAAAAGGGAAAAAAGAGTCCTCAAAGTGCGATTTGTAGACACACATGATGAGAGCAAGCTCAGACAGTCTGTGGCTGAGAGAAGCAAATCTTCTTCTTCTTCTTCTTCTGTACAGCTGCAGTCAGGTCTGCCTCCTACTAATAAACGATGCAGCCCCTCCTTACCGCTCATGTGAACATCCAGGCTGTGAATGGGGAGGTTTCAATCACAGTGTTCATGCCGTAAATCTTTTAGCTGTCACAGTCTGACTCTTCCTCATTTTATAACTCGAGTGGCTTTTAATTAGTCTCGTGTTTCTAAAACCGCGTGTTTAGTTGGGTTTGATTTTTCTTTGGGATTAAAAGAATCTTCAGCTTCTTACTGATTGAATAATTAGAAACCTTCAGATATATCAGTATAAAGGAATGTTCAGGGCCAGCTGTAGACACGATAACTGGCGCCTGATATCCGTCATGGCCACCTCGTAGCTCAGGGCCTGCAAAACAAGCTTCGCCCCACAAGATTTAACTGGATAGAAAGATGAACATTCTCATATAAAACTCTGTGAAGTGCCAAGAGGCTTACTCTCTTTTGGGAAGCCGACCACAGCTCCAGGCTAGATCCAAGCTAAATTTGAGGTTGAATTTATGAAAGTAAATTCTTACTGTTCCATTTGAACTAATATACGAGTCACATTATGACTGAGGGAGATGAGTGTAAAACACTGAGTTCATTATTTTCTCAGTTCAGTTCAGTTCAATGTTTTTTATATAGCACCAAATCACAACAACACTCGCCTGAAGGTGCTAAACATTATCAGCTAAAGATCTTAAAATAATGAGTCATGTGGAATAAAAACCCACGTGAAACAAGAAACTATTCTTCCCAGACTGTCTCGCCCAAGCATTAATCCTCCCTCGCACATTTTCTCATCCATTATTCTGTAATGTTGCCTAAAGTTTAGTAAAATTATAATGCATGGGAAAAACAGGAGTTGTGTCACTCTTGTGAGCAATCATATTTTACTGTAAGTCTTATTAGTAATATGAGTGTTTTCCCCATAGAGGCTGTGAGGGAAGCAGGGAGGGTCACAGATTGTCTTTAAACTGCATGCAAAGCGAGGAAAACTAGCTCGCCACAGAGCGAGAAACTGTACAGGACATGTAAATACCAAAAAACAAAGCTTCAGATGATGGTTCTGCTTCAAATGGTGTAAAAAAGCACATGTGAGACCAATGATTTTAAAATAGATATTCACAGAGAATTGAATATGAGTACACACACACAGTCACTGTATTCATATAAAAAATAACTTTATTTAAATCCATCCGAGAATGAACTTTATATAAAATCTTCAAAACTGTGAACAGTCCCAGTATCCATCTGTACACAACAGAACAGATGCACAAAGACACACAAAGACACACAACTTTAATCACAACATGTCTGCTCTACTCTTTTATAAGCGCTGATATTTTGTTGCATTTCCATGAGAAACAAGGAGAATGGGAGCTAGCTGTGTCGTTTACCAGAGGTAGATCAAATGTACATGACGAAATTATCACTGATAACTGCAACAAAAATTTAAATCAGAATCTGTTTGTATCTTTATTTTGTAACTTAAAATGAAAAAATATAGACACTTCTAGTTTTCCTTACATAAACCGGAGCTCTGTATCAGCTTAAGAAATGCATTGACTCTGTCGTAGAGATCTGCCCACCAGCCAATTTCAAGCTAAATTTGATAAATTAGTTTAAAAACATAAAGTCTCATGTGAAAATCAGTTACATGATGTCATCCAGGACAGCTTTTGTAAGTAAACACTTTCTCCACATCAGTGTCACGATAACCGACCTGTTTTGATTCAGACTTGCATTAAACTGATTTGGTAAACATGAAGAAACAAAAAGTCCTGAATGTGGTTTCCAAACTTTATGGTTACATCAAATCCTGTTGATGTTTTTACAATCTTCTGCATCTCCAAGATCCACACTGATAGAAAAATCTTTTTCCAACACACTGAGCTGGAAATGTCCAATAAAACTTTCTAAATAAAGCAGCAAATCGATTTCAGGGAGGACTTCCTCTTTTAATTTGTCCATCACTAGTAGCTTTTAGGAAGAATTACTTTGTCCTTAACTAGTAAGGTGTAAAACTTTAATAAGTTAGAATTTTAAGTCTTCAAGTTAATACAAATCCATAAAAATAAATATGATCTTCATCCTTCTACATCTTGAGCAAAGGAGGTTTTCTTCAGTCTTGCATTAAAGGGACTAGAAAGTCCTTAAATCTTTAAATGTTCTTTTTCTTTGAAAATGAGCTCGATAAATAAAATCCACTGCCTTTATGATGACCTCAGTGCTGCTTGGCCCGAGTGTCTGCCAGTGGCTGCTGGTTTAAATTTTCCACTTGACTGTGAAGATCCAGGAAAGATAAATCTCAAATGGTCTCGGCTCCATTAACACCAACGTTCGCAAGGCACCTGGAATAGTTATACTTGGCTTTGGGTCGTTTTGCCTTCTGAAAGCTTCTGTTGAAAGAAATTGAATAATGAGTCAGTCTAACAGGAAGCAACAACATGTTTGTGTTTTATTTGTTTCTTACTTACATTTAATTTCTGATGAAGGCAGCGAGAGAAACACGCAGAAAAAGCGACGACAACCAGAACCGACATGAAGGTGATGACAACGGCGACCACAGAGACCCTGGATCGACCTGCTGACGTAGACGAGAAATAAACAAGGTTACCACAAATGGACAAAAAAATGTCACCCAAACACAAGTGACAGAGAAAATTTGACTTCTCACCGTTTGCTGGAGTCGCGTCCTGAGGATCTGGAGTTTGGAAGTGCAATGGCGTCTCCGTCGTGGAGGTTTTAGCAAAATTTGGATCTAAAAAGACCATAAACACTAGAGTTATAATAAGCTGATAAAATGAGACTGAAAGTTTGGAAATGAGTTAAAATAATACACAAAGCATGATTCCAAGTCTGAAAGTTCAGTTTGGATTGAACAAATCTTCTGACCGACTACAAGTTCAACAACAGCAGCTTTCAATCTGCTCCGCAGCTTGGGGATGAAACATCTGTATCTGCCGTTGTCTTCCTCCGACACGTTCAGGATCTTCAGTGAAATGTTCCCGTGTTTCATGTCGTCCATGAACAGCTCCGTCCTCCTGAAGTACGAGGCCATCTTCATGTCGGGAACCTCCTGCCTGTCCCTGTACAGGTGAACATACTCCACTCGGCTCAGACGGTCCGACGGGTTGGGCTTCAGGTCGGGTTTGGACCACTCCACCGTCATACCCTGGACATCGAACATGGGCTCCAGGTGACACGGCAGGATGACATCATCACCCGGAGCAGCGATGATTGGAAGATTTGACCCAATCACCAGAACCTCACCTGGAAATATGGAAAATTAAACCTCCCGAATTCCCACAGACCCCTGTAGAGTTACACCGTGAAGACCTGAAGATCATTAACAGCCCCATGAGTCTTTGTGCTGTTACTGCAGAAGTGTTTCTGGGACCAAATTAAACGAAACAACTACTCCTCAGTATATTTGGTAAAAAGAACTGTTTAATCCTTCAGTTTAAATGAAGTAGTGACATATCTGTGAAGGTTTTCAGCCATCCAGATTATCGTAGTCTCAAGCCCTTGCGTTAAAGGCTGCCAGAATTATTTTTCCCGTTTTATGTTCATGCAGATGCTTTAACTCTTATTTGAAACACCTGGAACATCCTGGTCACACTGTGGCACTTTGGCTCTTAATAAACCATGTTGGTTGGCTGGAGAAGACCTCTTCGAAGAACCAAAACCATTCCTACTGTCTTCAACTCAAGCGTTTATGTAAGGAACGTTTGGATTCGGGGAATAAACAAAGTCATGTTATTTTTGTTATGTAACATGCAATTTGTTTTTGTTTTTTTTAAATATGTGATTTTTTTTTTATAAAGAGAGAATGCTGATTTCTGTTGGACTGAAATATCTCATCGTCTTGATTGGATTACCATCTAATATTTATGTCCCACCCCCAAGGATGAACTGTTGCCTGTAACTTTGTAATGAGATTAAATCTGCCTTTTAAACAGTAAATATTTTAATTTCATTAATGTATCACTTTCATTGGATTATACTTGGATTGAGCTTTATTTAAATGTTCATTATGTCTGTGTAAGTTGTCAGTCATCCATGTTCACATATTGGACAGAGAGGACAGATGGTTTGAAAGAGGAGTGAAAGACGCCATACTGTGAGCGACTGTCTTTGAACAGAGGCGGTGGTTTACGACACCAACTGTCTGCTATCTATAATCCAGTTTTGAGATCCTCCCCAGACACCTTAACGCCCACTCACATCTTGCACCAGTCGATTTCAATGGATCACATGATAGGATGAGGCAAGGTCTCACAGCGGTTTCACCCGAAACATCTGGTGATAATTGTTTTGAAGGAAGGAGGGTTCAGGGCTTAAGCAATCAGCATCATGGGCTCATCCGGTTAGAATAAGAATAAGCAGCCATCTAATTCAGAATTATTCTCAGGGTTCTCCTTTTATTCTCAAATAAATAAGGCAAAGAAGGAAGGAAACAAAGACACACATGGACTGCCACAGCTCAGCTGCCGCCCCGTGTGGAAGTGAAGAAAGAGTGAGCCAAAAGTGAATGCAGTCCTTATATAATGTGTGACATATAATGTGTGACAGGTGAGTGCAATCGAGGACAAGCACCACACCCAATCAAAGGTGAGAGAACTAAACAAGGTGCATCTGGTGAAGTGAGTGGGTGTGCTGGGATTTGCCAAAGGGTGGGTCTCTACAACAGCCGCCCCCATATTTTCTAGAGAGAAATATGTTGATATGGTCAGGATCGATCTTCGTCAGGAAGCGGGGGCAGGGGATCAGACAGGAGACAGGGCAGATATAGGTTTTATCCTGTACTAAGACCTCCACAGTTCTGATGCGGTCATCTGGGCTTTTCAGCAAGCGTGTCACTCTCCCTACAGGCCAAAGGGCACGTGGAAGGTGTGAATCCATAATCATGACAACAGAGTTCTATGTGAGATCTGGGTTCTCCTTCTGCCATTTGGGTCTTCTTTGGAGGGATAGTAGATAGTCTTTTATGAAGTGCCGCCAGAAGTGATCTGCCAATATTTGTGCATGTCGCCATCGTCGTCGACCTAGGAGGTCAGAATCAGAATAGGATACTAAGGGAAGTGACGAATCATGTCGGCCCATAAGGAGAAGGTTTGGGGTTATGGGGTCAATATCCGCAATGTCTGAGGATACATAGCCTAGGGGTTTTGAGTTAAGAATGCCTTCAACCTCAATTAGGACTGTTCTTAAGACCTCTTCAGTGAACATTTGGGCACCAATGGTTCTCTTCAGAGCATTCTTCACAGAACGTATCTCCCTCTCCCAGGCTCCACCGAAATGGGGTGCATGCGGGGGATTGAATTTGAAATGGATTCTTTTAGTCATCAGGACCGGCTGTAGAGTCGGAGCAAGGTTGTTAAAAGCTGCCCGTAGTTCCTTATCTCCTCCTTTGAAGTTAGTTCCTTGATCACATATGATTTCCAGGGGTGTTCCTCGTCGAGAAATGAATCGTTGGAGGGCCATGAGGAATGAGTCTGTATCCATACTGTTTAGGAGGTCAAGATGTATGCACCGAGTGGTGAGACATTTGAATATTATTCCCCACCTTTTCTCCGATCTGCGGCCGGTCTTGACCTTGTATGGTCCAAAGCAGTCTATTCCTGTGGAGTAGAAAGGTGGTTTGAATAACCTAAGACGAGCAGCAGGCAAGTCTAACATTTTTGGAATGATGGGCTGTGCTCTCCATTTCTGACATGCAGCGCAGCTATACTAATGCCTGCGTACTGCTTCCCTTCCTCTGAGAATCCAGAATTTCCGACGTAGTTCAGCAAAAAGTCTTTCTGAACCAGCATGATGCAGTTTGTCATCATAATTTTTGTATGATCAGTTTGGTCACTGGATGCGCCGGATCAAGTACTATTGGGTGAATGACATTCAATTCCAAGTCTGGGCTTTGCCGTAATCGGCCTCCTACATGGATAAGTTCAGAATTCTTGCACAGCACTGGTGACAAACACAATAGACGGCTGTCGGATGAAAGGGGTTTGTCTGACTGCAAATGGGCCAAATCTTCACCGAAACTGTCCAGTTGTGCCTGACGAAGGATTTCTTGTTCTGCTGCAGAAGGAATGTTACCCTTTTGGTTGGAGAGTGAACGAGCCGTGAAATCCAATAGCTCTTGATAGGTTCTGAAGCTGGGTGTGTATGTATGGGAGGGTATACTGACAATACCAAAGAAGTAGGCTTTCTTTAACTCAGTCTGATCATCATCCGGATGGAGATCTGTAACTGTGGGCCAGTTATTCGAAGGTGCATGCAGAAACGAGGGACCCTCGGTCCACCTGTTTGGGCTAAGGAACTCTTTCAGGGATTTACCTCTCGTAACATCATCAGCAGGATTTGTGGCTGAATTGATGTATCTCCAGTCTTGGCTGTTTGTGAGGTTTTGAATTTCTGAGATTCTGGCTCCTACGAATACCTTGAAACGACAGGAATCTGACTGAAGCCAGTGAAGTACAGTTGTTCCATCCAGGATCCAGGAGATTTTTATTTTTTTTCTCCCCCCCTTTCTCACTGTCCCTCTCCCCTTCTGTTTTTCCTTTCCTTCCTCTTTCTTTCTCCCTTTCCTATCCCTCACTCATGTCTGTCCCGTCTGTAACATCTGAAATAAAATATAATAAATAATAAAACAAAGATCGATCAAATGGACCAATACGGCAATGCCACGATGATCCATTTGGCAAAGTAAATCCATTGGGTATCCTTGTTGGTCTTCAGACAACAATTCTGATGGCTAAAGAACCAAATGGGACAGGCCAAAAAAAAAAAAAAAAAAAGACAAACGCCGTAGAGTTCAAAGAAACCATTTAAAAAATATATAATAATAATAATAATAATAATAAAGATAATAAAGCATTCACACTAATTACCATCAGATTCGAGCACATGATAACGAGTCAATGTACACAAAGAACAAAGAAATATAACCCCTGGTACAGCTGTAAAACGAAACCAATAATCTTCTGTTTATTTGGTGTAATATTTACATATACATTCTTATCTCAAGTTCATTGATCACATGTGTATAAATGAATTGTCTTACCAGAGACGGTGAGTCTGCAGCTGTTGTAGCCGCGACCATAACCTGTGTCCACCTCACACAGGTACAGACCCGAGTCCTCAGTCCTGAGTCTGGACAGCTGGAGTCTGATTCGTCCTTCTCTGAGGGCGTCTTTGTCACTCTGGACTCGTCCTGAAAACTTTTTGTCCTGATCCTCTGAGAACTCGACACCATCAAAAAGATGATAAAAAGTCCAGTATTTATGGCCATTATTCAGGATACAGAAGACCTTCAGTGCTGAGATGGACGTGTCTGGTTTGGTGGTGAACGTCCACTCCAGTGTGATGTTGTGGTTCTCCTCTGCCTGATAGGAGCTCTGTGTCACATCCACTACAAATGATCCTGTTGAGGAGACAGAGAGGAGCAGACACACAACTTTATACAACATCAGAACTTTTTTTCCTGACATGCTCCTGTCCATATTGTACATTACTGACATACATGTGAAATTTCAAAGACATTGAAAACAATATTGTTTGCTTATACAAACTTGGTTTAACTATAATAAATCAACATTGACACTTATTACAAACAAAATTTACAATATTTGGGAATCACACATATTTGACCAATAGAAAATAAATATATATATATACATAAATACATATACACACACATGTACACACGCACGCACACACATACACACACACATACGTACACACGCAGTATTGTCCCATTAGACTTCCTTGAATTATATATTGTGTACATGTGGGGAAACACATACATTCTGCAAAGAAGAGCAATAAGGATAATAAGTAAAACCACTTCAAGAGAACCAGCAAATCCACTTTTCCTCAAATGTAATATTCTTAAATTTAAAGACTTGGTTGACGTCAGAACTGCACAATGTACAAAGCAGCAAATAAATCTTTGTCCCACAACATTCAGAACTTGTTCCAAATAAGACCAAATACTCATGACCTGGTAGGAATGCTTATGTTAAGCAAGACAGTAGCAAGGACTAAATTAAAATATCCCAGCATTAAATTTGGTCTGCGAAATAAACCGTGCAGCTTGTGAATACAAAGCTGTGGAAGTATTGAGCTGCATTTCATTGCTTTCAATTCTTTGTAGGAAAATGTGAAATGGATGCAGTGGTTTATTGAAATGTCTGCCAACATTCATGGAAATACAGTAAATAAGGTAAACACAGAGTCTGTGCTAATCCAATGAACTAGAACGTAATAGAAACGTTATTTACCTTTAACAAAATCCAAGTGAAGAATTGAAGTCCACAGTGGGACCACAAGGAAAGGCATGAAATCCATGATGTCATCTTCTTAACAATCTGTGGGGATCCAGATCTTCTTCATTTTCACATTCAGGCTGCAGACAAAAATATAACTGTTACATCTCAACACACAGACATGCTGCATGTTCAGCAGCATGTCAGCCGCTACGATACTGACCAACTACTAATGTTAGCTGGTGGCTGCGAGCAACAACACCAACAACCAACAGAAATCTACCAAGTTCAAGAGTGAGGGGAATCCTGAGCAACACCTAAAAATCTCTAAAACGATTGAAAACTAAACTGAAATCAGGAAAATACAACACAGTGAGCAGCATGCAGAGGTAATTTACAGGAACATGCTTTAGAAATCCCCACAAACCATCATAAATCTGTTTTTATTTATTCTGAACAGGAAAGTGTGGTCAAATCTGGCAAAATCAGACAAAAATCAAATGTTGCTGGATTAAAAAAAACTAAGTTTTTCTTTTCTAAATGAAATTCTGTGTAAGAAACTGACTGAACCTCTGTTACATGGAAACATCATCACGGTTTTCCAGCAGAGAAGATTTTACCAACTGTGTTTGCAGGAGCAGCTGACGTCTTCATCTCTGATAAACAGCACATTAGTGGGAAAAGCTTAAACAAATGGTTGGAATTCAGTTGAATCCAGTGACGTCTGTATAGATATTTATCTCTAGGACAGAAAAGTCTGACCCCTCAGACTTCATTCAAAAATGTGGGTGTTTGATGGAGAGTTGCGGTTAGTGAGAGTTTGGAGACCGTTTGGAGGTTTATGAGAGTGAAGAGAGAAAGTCAGGAGAGAATGGAGCCAGCTAAGAAGAGGAGGATGTCCTCCCCTGTGTGGGAACATCTTGATCTTATTCCTCCCAACAAGGTATGTACATTTCTACAGAAGATGTATTTTCATAATACTGATGGTGCAATACAATTTATGTTAAGCGCCTTTACTTTTGTACAAGGTGAAGTGTTTGCTCTGTGCCAGGGAGCTGGGATATAACAACAACACCTCATCCATGCTTAGGCACTACAGAGCTTTGCATGAGAATAAGGGGAACACCGATTGTGGAGCAAGACCAGGTGAGCCATCAAATGCAATGATAATATAGCATGCAGTAATGTTACTAAATGATATAACAATATTATACAGCTGTAATAAGTTACGTGTGTGATATTTATATTTGTGCTTTGTCTTTATTGTCTTTCCTCTGGGGAACAATCTCCAATAGATGAAGACCTGGTCAGCATGGTGATCGAGGACTCACAGCCATTTAGCATTGTGGAGGACAAAGGATTCAAAGGATTTGTTAAATCATTAAATCCTAGCTATGTTCTCCCCACTAAAAAGGACGTAAAAGCAGTGAAAATTTAGTTTTTACAGAATAAAATGTGAACAGGCAGGACTGAGGCCTCAGTGTGTAGCTGTCCATACCTCAACGTTACAAAAGCACAACCACTGTCCACACCCCAACCACACCTCACCTCACAGTAAATGATCATTTTCCATACTGCCAGTATAAATATACACAGTATACTGCCATCACTACAATATAGATGTTTTACACACTCCTTTTGTTGTTGACATTTACAGGCTGTGTGCAAAAGGCCACACTCTTCAAATTCATGCCAACTAATATTTTTACGTCCAGTAGGTGTCCTGCTAGAGCAAATGAAGCTTCAAGAAGCTTTGCACTGGGGTGAACCAATTGGATGAAAAGCTTCAGTGCTTCATGAAGCTTCATCTGCCAATCACTAGCAGAGACTGACGGGGCGACTCGGACTTCCTCCGCTCCTAAATGCGACTGCTGAGTGGCTGTCAGGGAGATGATCTAATTAAGACATCATGCGTAATTTTGGGGCGTGTCATTGGTCGCCATGAGGACACAACAAAAACATTTCCAGATCTCTTCTGGTTTATCCAGTTGCTAAAGTCCCACACCTCCTGTTTGCGGCTCTGGGACTGAGGTTTACTGGGTTTGCGCCCCGTGTCATGAAACAGAATAACTGAAGCTGTGTTGTAATCACCAGTGACATAGTAGCGTGTAGTATAGTCTAACAGAGTTAGAAAACAGCTTAATGAATTTCCTCAAAATTGATGTGGACAAATACCGCAACTCCATTGTTACTCCAGGTCCCAAATCGCTGCACAGTGCATGCCTCAGCAAAAGAAAATAATCCCAAGATGGAGAATTGAATGTGCAGTTGTATCACACACTGTTGATGACGACTGTGCGCTGTTATCTTTGTACCAGTTGCCAGAGTAAAGAGGGAACCCAGGTAATGTTCCCTCTAATTTTTCATGTATCTGAGCGAATACACAAACTCCCTGAGCGATCCCTTGGACCACTGTGAGCAACAGCAGACGTGTGCACTGTGGTCACGCCAGCATCAAATCCATCCAGGTTGCACGGTTTATTGAAATAATCAAATTACAGCATTTACATTTATGTTAGACTACTTTTAATTAACTGCTTTAGCCCACTTACAATGAAAATTAAAAAAAATCTTGTTCATGACCTGTGTAGTATGTTAACACTGTTGGAAGTAAAAATAACTTGAACTCCAATTTTGAAAACACGTGTTTAAAAAAACAAACACAAAAAACTGTCATATGCTGTAGGAGTGTCTGAAACTGCAGTTCACTGAACAAAAGTTCAGTGAACTTTTGTGCTGTCGCTCCCGTGTCGACCTTCTTCTCAGTTTTGGACTCATGCTCATGAGTTTTGCATTTGGGTCCTTATCTGCCTGCACAGAGCTAGTTCATGATAGCATCAGTGCAAAAAGGGCATAAACACAAAGCGCGGACCTGCCAAAACATCAGAATCAGTGAGATGTCGCCTTTCTCACCCGACGGCACGGACACGATCAGGGCTGAAAGCCAACAGCTTTCCAAAACTGAGTCCAGAAATATACAAAAACAGTTCAAAACAAAAAAATGCTGGAGTCCAAGGAGGCAGTGTCCATAGAGATCAGAAGGTCGACGTGGGAGCGACAGCACAAAAGTTCACAGTTCAGCTGTTCCTGGGTGGAAGACGGCGGTGACTCCACATCTCGTTGGCATTCAGATAAAGAGCTTTGTAGTCTTAAAAACTCAATGCACTAAAGCACTAAAACATCTTTGTGTAATAAACTTCATATTAAACCTTTGGGGTCCAGGGTCCAAAACAAAATATCCATCAAGGGCACAGGAGCACAGGGAACAGTCCAAAACCAAATGTCCACCAACAAGACAGCAGCTCAAGGAACAGTTCATTATACGCTATTATAAGTTCAGGGGGTTGGCCCCCGGGGGCCGATGGCTCAATAGCTCATAATTGGTCTTCTGTAAATATATTGAAGGTCTTCACCCTCTCCACCAGAATCCCGCTGATGTATAATTGGGGATCCTGGTGAAGAGCGTGTACAAGAGTGGACTGAGCACACAGCCTTGGGGAGTCACTGTGCTCACTATCTTTGTACCTGATGTCATTGTACCAACTCTGACTGACTGAGGTCTGCCTGTAAGAAAGTCAAGTCAAGTCAAGAAAGCCTACAGTGGCTTGCAAAAGTATTCGGCCCCCTTTAACTTTTCCACATTTTGTCACATTACAGCCACAAACATGAATCAATTTTATTGGAATTCCACATGAAAGACCAACACAAAGTGGTGTACACGTGAGAAGTGGAACAAAAATCATACATGATTCCAAACATTTTTTACAAATAAATAACTGCAAAGTGGGGTGTGCATAATTATTCAGCCCCCTGAGTCAATACTTTGAAGAACCACCTTTTGCTGCAATTACAGCTGCCAGTCTTTTGGGGTATGTCTCTACCAGCTTTGCACATCTAGAGACTGAAATCCTTGCCCATTCTCATCAGAAGCTGAAGTTCATTCAGTAAACAGATGTGACAGAACAGCTGGATGTCTGTCAGTAATCAGCAGCTGATGTGAAACGTGAAGAAAAAAAAAACTTAAATAATAAATAAAATAAAAAAATGAAATAATACAGACAGCATGAACATCTCTTCAATTTGTTATGAATACACTGTTACCATAAAACAATCTACCGCACAAAATATAAACCATTTAGAAATCATAATAAAAATCAAAGTTGGTGGAAGCAGGTCTTGATTTAGGAGATTGCTGCCATCTACTGGCTGATCTGCAGTTATGCTGCTTGATGAGACCCCTGAAGTTCTCAGAACATTTTATGTGCTGTCCAGTATCTGCTGCACCACCCATGGGAAGTATTTCAATCATCAGTGACTTCAAAGTTTGTCTCCTTCAGTCTCACAGAAACATAAAGGATCAACTAATTTAATTACTTTATATTAACAAGGTTAAATATATTGCATAGTTTAGAATATAACATATATTTAAACACTGTAGTGCAAAAAAAGATATTCACCAATAAGGCTGCCACAATTAGTCGACTATTAAAAATGTCGACAACTAATTTAATTTGTCATTTGAAGCTTTGTAAAATCCTGAAAGACACAGGAATAAGTAGTAGGATTTAAGAGTGTAATAACCAACTGAAACAGAAGAGGGCAGCACTGCATGCCAGCTTTTAAATCCCAAAGAAGAAGAAGAAGCAGCGTCCGGTTTCATACCTGTGTCCAAATTTAGCGGCCTGGGTCAGACCCAGGGTCCCTGACAGAGACAATCTGAAAATTTCATTAAAAGCTTAATAATAGTGATGGCCCGCTTGAAGCTGAAGCTCCGGTGCGTGTGTCAAAAAAATCAACACACTGCTTCAGAAGCACTGTGTCGAAGCTTGATTCGCTTGGCCAGAGTCACGTGATCAGTGACGTCCGAAGCTTCATTTAGAACCTAACTGCTTCGGTATCTGATTCAATGGTTTATAAGGAAGCGAATCATTCGTGGGATTTGTGGTGTTTTGATGGTGACAGATAGCGAACCACTGATCATTCTACTGAGAGATTTTGAGCCAGCGAGGAATAGAGGAGGTTCTGTTGTGTGGGAGTATTTTGAGTTGATTTTTGTCAATCGGGTGGGTTTTCCAGCTTTGTGTTCTGGCTGTTTGCTTTTGTTTTGTGCGTGTTTATTATATCTGAAAACGGGAAAAAGGTAAAATGTCAAAAATCTGCTTCCATAATATAAATATCATTAAATAACTTTAGAAAACTTCCATTTGACTGTTTACATGTAATGTTGTAAAAAAAAATATTTTATTGTTTAATTAATCTGAAAATGTTAGTCTGCCAAATGTGCAGCAACTGAATGTATTTATTCTCTTTAGCTGATAGTTTGTGGGGCCCAGTTAGACTGTATAACTGCATCTCTACCAGTTTCTCTGCACTCCAGCCTCCTCTGTGCCACATGAAGGGATGTCCCTTAATGCAGGAGAAATTATCTCCACGAAAAGCAACAGGTTCGGCCATCGCACACTAGAACAAATTCGCCTCTTAAATAAAAATGAAAAAAGGTTACCTTAAATGCATCATGTTTTTAATTTGCAAGTTCATAAGCATTTTGATAAGCATCCTGAAACATTGCATAAACAAGCATAAGCAGAAACATTGTTTCAGTGACAAGATATAGGCGGCAATCACTTTTTGGCAGGCTTAAAATGGCATATTATGGGTATTAATGATCCTTTAAAAGTTATTCAGGATTTCTTAGAGACTGTTTGGGATATGATGTGCCACATATCATCCTTTTGGATGATACCCAACAAGTTTGAAGCCGAAATATTGTTTCAGTGACAAGTTATAGGCCACAATCTCTTTTTGGTAGCGCTAAAATGCCATGTTCTCAGTCGTTATTCTGAACAAACAAGAAAGAGTCATGGTGATACTGGCACAATAGGTCTTTATTGTTTTAACTACTATTCGACAGTCTTATAACAAATATGAACAACGAGAGTAGACATACTAAACCTGTGGGCATTAATTATTCCATCGTGATGCGTGTAGTCATTCGTGAATGCGATACACACTGAAAGCAACCTTCTGATAAGCGTCATAATTCGGTTACAAGAAACGTTAAAGCTCCATAAATGCATACCTTTGCCTAATAACAAAGGCATAAATGTGTTTGGGTTTTTCCCCCCCACGTTATATCAGTTGCACGGAAGTAGCTGGCAACGCAAGTAATCCGGGCGCTGCAGCTTTAAGCAGCTGCGCGCGCTCCCGCGGACGGCAATCAGTTTCTGGCAGACAATCACTTTTTGGCACAACACCGGGAACGAGCTCACAAAGAGCACGCGCATTTTTTCCGGTCCGGAGCTGTAGGAGAAACACAAGTTAACTCAGAGACACAGACTGATGCGACAAAACCAGTAAGTAGGTGTACAGCGCACACTGTAGTGTGTAGCACACAGGAGTATTAGCTTATTACGTACACGTTGGTAAGCTGTCTTGTTGCAACTGACGAACTGAAACAAACGAGCGTGCTCCGTGTGCAACAGCGTGACAAACATTACCTGTCCTTTTATTAACTGCACATGTAGTGCTGGTCACAGCTGCTGGCTACCTGTGTAAGGCTGTCATGGGTCTGTAGCTCTGTCACCGTTTTAGGGAACATATTTAGTTTTAAAGTAAGTTTCCGGGCTTTTCCTGCCTTTCTGGAGGGATTATATTTCACTAAAAACGATCTAATATGCATGCCCACATAATTATGCATTATTATAATTATAATATATTAAAAACACACGCTGTATTTTAAAGAACATACATTAAGAAGCAGATTATATTAGATTTATATTTTAAATAAGACAAAATTTGGATTTTACAGCAGTAAAATGATTGTATCTACAGTTTAAACATGTAATAAGCTTTGCCCTGCACAGAGTGGATAGTGAAACAAATGGAATCATCATAATGACATTATTTCATATTTATTACTTCCCCCTCCTCTTTGCTTTATTATTGTAGCTCTAGTAATAAATAACAATGTAAGGATTCTGGATCAGCACCATGATGCCCATAGTATATACAGTATTCTGAAGAAGGTCTAACATGTCACTGTGTGTGCATGCATGTGTGTGTTTTATTTAGATGGATTTTTAAAAAAAATATTACTCAGGATATAACATTGTGCAGACATGGCTGGTAAGGACATGAGGAGGAAACAGCAGGAGCTGTGTGAGGCTACTAAAGGCAGGGCTATAATATTTTTCTGTCATCATTTTATTATAGATTAAGTGCTGGAGTTGTTAGGTGTGGATAATTAGATTATAGTTTATTGCAATAGCAAGTTGTGCCTTGTTCTCACATAGACAGCAAGTGGAGAGTGATATATGAAATGATGGGATGGAAGGAAGAAGAGAAGCAAAGAGTGATTCACAGGCAGAGCCTAAATTATTTCTCACAGTTTTTTGTTGCCTTATGGTTCCAAGCGCTGTCACCAATCTTTGCATTTTGTTATTATCTCATGAGACTTGTTTAATCAGCTACCATCTCTCCTATGGACTTTTTAATGTCTACAGTCTCAGATCAACACAGCCCTGCCTCCAGCACTATCAGCAGCAACATTGTACCCATCAGGTAAAGCATCGGCTACGTTTGCTTTGCCTTGTTGCCCATATTAGATTCTTGATGAATGTGTGTTGTTGTTATTCAGCCTGGTTCAATGTGCCCCTTTTTAACTTTGAGCACCCGCCCCTTTAAACCTCTCTGCACAGCCCTGCCACACGGCAAAGGAAAATTGATAATAGTTAATTTGGCTGATTTGATTCATAAAATGTTATTAAACTGCAGCTCAGAGTAACGTTTAAAATATCCGCTTACCCTGAACCAGAGTCCACACGCTGAAAGCCGAGCACAGGATAGAAGTCCACAGGAACGAAGAGTCCTCAAAGAACGAGTTGTACACAGACATGGTGGATAAAGTACACAGTCTGAATGAACGAATGAAGGCTCCTCTCGACTGTGTTTCTGCCTCCTGCTCCCGAATATTCTCTCTGACACATTTTCTCTCCGCCGGTTGCTCAAATACTCTCAGTGTGTTTTGGAAATATGGGCGGATCTAAACTCCACCCCTCTCTGTGTTGATTGGCTTAAAATGACATAGCCAATACGCTTTTCCGGGTTAACTGGTATGCTTGGTGTTTCCTTGGCAATATTTGTTTACAGTTCTAGAATTTTCTTTTCTTTTTTTTTTTTAAATTGCGGTCAGCGATTTGTCATGTGATTTTTGTTTTCAGAAAAACATCTTTGTCATGACAGAGTGAATTGTTGTTAAATGTCACCTGACAACGAATGATTATAATAAAACAGTAAAAAAAGAAAAAAAAGTACATGTATATATAAGTATATATCAAAAGGAGGGATTTTCCAGACCAAAAAGGCTAGGCAGCGCCTGTATCACCTACGACAACTGAGGAAGTTCAGGGTCTCTCCAAAGATCCTCAGAATTTTCTATACAGGAGCTGCTGCACATTCACCCAGTGTATATACTATACTATACTATATATATATATATATATATATATATATATATATATATATATATATATATATATATATAATGTTCTTCCTCTACACCCCCCCCCAAATTTTTGCACATATCGAGGAGCGTGTCCGGCTACATTTCACTGTGTGTTATACTTGTATAACTATGCATGTGACAAATAAAGAACCTTGTACCTTGAACCTGGGATGTCACAACAATGAATCACCGGTTTACAAAGAGATTACAAATGTCTTGTTGCATTTCTTGTTTGGTTTGCGTAACTATTACTATGTGGAGGTAGAAAACGCAAAGTGTTTCTACAGACAAAAGCAAAACAGTGAATTCAAACAAAATAAGAAATTGGGGAAAATTAACAAACAATTAAAACAACACATATTTTGTAGTAAATACCAAGTAAAGGCTTGAAAAAACGTTTTATCACACCATCCGTTTTTTGAGGGAAAGAAAACAAACAAACAAACAAACAAAAGAATCTGCTGGCTGTAAATTGCTAATGCTACCCAGTCATATAAGTGTTAAGGCCAATATGTGACCTGTCTCCCACTGTGACACAAACTTCAATACAAGAGCAGTGAATTTAGGCCAAATGTGTATTTTTATTACAAACTAACCACAGTCTGTCCAGCTTAATTCAGTTTTTATACAAATAAATACGTTTACGTAAATATGTAACTGTTTTATGCACCGTACAAACAGTATAAATAGTTCCTGTTATTACTGTGCCCAACCGGCAGTATGTTCCCCAACCACCAGGGGAGCTGGTGGAGCAGAGCTGAAAATGATTAACAGATTAAATGCCATGCTGAGGCTGTCATTTTTAGCATCTACATGGATGTTAAAATCACCCACAATAATTATTTTATCTGAGCTGAGAACTAAATCAGATATAAAGTCTGAGAAATCAGAGAGAAACTCTGTAAGGCCCAGGTGCACGATAGATGATAACAAGTAAGACTGGTTTCTGAGTTTCAACATCAGCAGCAGTACTCTTGGCAAAGTGTGTAGTTCTTGGGACCAAACCTGTTGCTGCTGGGATGTTGTTCAACGTCACATTCTTTGTGGGGTACCAAAATATGGAGATGGAGAAGTCCATCCCACTGCTGCTTTATCTATCTCCAGTCCAGTGTCATCTTCTGTTTCTTTTCTACCTACCAAAAGTTAACCCACTGATTAAAATGTTATCCAAGTGTGAGTGTGCGAGTTGGAAAAAGACAAGGACAAAAGACAAAGGGGGCGCACACAAGTCAAAACATAAATGAAGAGTTCACAGAGTAGGCCAGAAATGGGACAAGATCTAGGGCCAGTGACAGAGGCCTCTGCCCCGAGATGTGAGGGCTGGCTGGGAGGCTAGCATCGGAGACCCTCAAATGGCTGTACTGGACACCAGCACACCTCAGGCATTATGAACGATGGCGGGACAACTCTCTCGACTCTCAGTCATGTGGAATAAAAACCCACGTGAAACAAGAAACTATTCTTCCCAGACTGTCTCGCCCAAGCATTTATCCTCCCTCGCACATTTTCTCATCCATTATTCTGTAATGTTGCCTAAAGTTTAGTAAAATTATAATGCATGGGAAAAACAGGAGTAGTGTCACTCTTGTGAGCAATCATATTTTACTGTAAGTCTTATTAGTAATATGAGTGTTTTCACCATAGAGGCTGTGAGGGAAGCAGGGAGGGTCACAGATTGTCTTTAAACTGCATGCAAAGCGAGGAAAACTAGCTCGCCACAGAGCGAGAAACTGTACAGGACATGTAAATACCAAAAAACAAGGCTTCAGATGATGGTTCTGCTTCAAATGGTGTAAAAAAGCACGTGTGAGACCAATGATTTTAAAATAGATATTCACAGAGAATTGAATATGAGTACACACACACAGTCACTGTATTCATATAAAAAATAACTTTATTTAAATCCATCCGAGAATGAACTTTATATAAAATCTTCAAAACTGTGAACAGTCCCAGTATCCATCTGTACACAACAGAACAGATGCACAAAGAACACAAAGACACACAACTTTAATTCAGTGCAGAAGCAGTGGCTCTTTCAGTCTGTGAAACACACAAGACAACAGTGGTAATGAAATATGACCAGTTTGATGAGGCGTGCAACACTTTTAATTAGAACTGGAACATTTGTACAAAGTTTCTACACAAAAGCAAAAGAAAATGAAAGTCAAGCCTTAACGACAAATGAGCTGAAATAAATGTAAGGTGCAGTTAATAAAGTGCTAAAGCAGGGAACGAAAAACACAAATTAAAATAAGCAAAAATAATAAAAGGCAGATAAAGGCCTTTTTTTGTAAATATTCACCTACCCAGCAAACATTTTGATGTTGAATAACTTGTTTTTTGTTTTTTATCCTGGTTAGAAAAAAACGTTCCAAACTTAAATTTGAACTAAGTTGTAGACATTACAGACATCATTTTGATCTACTCTTTAACATCGCCTAGATAAGGGGAGTCAAACATAAGGCCCAGGGTCCAGAATCGGCCCAACAAAGACTCCATTCTGACCTGTTCCAGTCTGTTCCTTAAGATCAAAGTTGGCTGTATGTGGCCCTCGATCTAAAATGCACATCCGTGGCCTGGATGTTGTTGCTTTCTACGATAAGAAATTTTGTGTCCTAAAATTGTGTTCTACTCTTCCTTAATCAATTATAACAAAACAAAATATACAAAAAGAAAAATTGGTCCAATGAAGCCTAAAACATGAATTGAACACACAAACTTCTGAGTTGACTGAAACAATCGTACTATGGTCAGTTTTGACCTGAGAGAGGCTCTCAGGATGTTTGCTGGGTATGTTTGAGCTTATAATGCAGAGCGCAGGTACATGGAGCTACATTGTGACTCTTAATACAAAATAACCGCTATAAACTATAAAAGCAGCAATAAACAACAAACAGCACAAACAACATCTTGGTGCCCTGCCTGCAGGCGTTTGGTGTTCAGGGAGTGGTTATTAGACTGGTCAGTGAAGGATCTGTCTGAGGTCATCAGTTAAAGAGGAATGAAATAACAGCTAGGCATTAGTCTCTCAGTCATCGTTAATTTTGAAAGTAAATTTTGATGTAGTTTTAGTCATTTCCAGTAAGCAGCTAAATCTTTGAGTCTAAAGTTGACTGTCTAACATATAAAGTGCTGCTTGTGTGAGAGTTGCCCCACACGGTTCACAAAGCGTCTGCTTTTCCTTGGCATCAACGTGTCCACATGTCTGCTCTACTCTTCTATAAGCGCTGATATTTTGTTGCATTTCCATGAGAAACAAGGAGAATGGGAGCTAGCTGTGTCGTTTACCAGAGGTAGATCAAATGTACATGATGAAATTATCACTGATAACTGCAACAAAAATTTAAATCAGAATCTGTTTGTATCTTTATTTTGTAACTTAAAATGAAAAAATATAGACACTTCTAGTTTTCCTTACATAAACCGGAGCTCTGTATCAGCTTAAGAAATGCATTGACTCTGTCGTAGAGATCTGCCCACCAGCCAATTTCAAGCTAAATTTGATAAATTAGTTTAAAAACATAAAGTCTCATGTGAAAATCAGTTACATGATGTCATCCAGGACAGCCTTTGTAAGTAAACACTTTCTCCACATCAGTGTCACGATAACCGACCTGTTTTGATTCAGACTTGCATTAAACTGATTTGGTAAACATGAAGAAACAAAAAGTCCTGAATGTGGTTTCCAAACTTTATGGTTACATCAAATCCTGTTGATGTTTTTACAATCTTCTGCATCTCCAAGATCCACACTGATAGAAAAATCTTTTTCCAACACACTGAGCTGGAAATGTCCAATAAAACTTTCTAAATAAAGCAGCAAATCGATTTCAGGGAGGACTTCCTCTTTTAATTTGTCCATCACTAGTAGCTTTTAGGAAGAATTACTTTGTCCTTAACCAGTAAGGTGTAAAACTTTAATAAGTTAGAATTTTAAGTCTTCAAGTTAATACAAATCCATAAAAATAAATATGATCTTCATCCTTCTACATCTTGAGCAAAGGAGGTTTTCTTCAGTCTTGCATTAAAGGGACTAGGAAGTCCTTAAATCCTTAAATGTTCTTTTTCTTTGAAAATGAGCTCGATAAATAAATCCACTGCCTTTATGATGACCTCAGTGCTGCTTGGCCCGAGTGTCTCCCAGTGGCTGCTGGTTTAAATTTTCCACTTGACTGTGAAGATCCAGAAAAGATAAATCTCAAATGGTCTCAGCTCCATTAACACCAACATTAGCAAGGCACCTGGAATAGTTATACTTGGCTTTGGGTCGTTTTGCCTTCTGAAAGCTTCTGTTGAAAGAAATTGAATAATGAGTCAGTCTAACAGGAAGCAACAACATGTTTGTGTTTTATTTGTTTCTTACTTACATTTAATTTCTGATGAAGGCAGCGAGAGAAACACGCAGAAAAAGCGACGACAACCAGAACCGACATGAAGGTGATGACAACGGCGACCACAGAGACCCTGGATCGACCTGCTGACGTAGACGAGAAATAAACAAGGTTACCACAAATGGACAAAAAAATGTCACCCAAACACAAGTGACAGAGAAAATTTGACTTCTCACCGTTTGCTGGAGTCGCGTCCTGAGGATCTGGAGTTTGGAAGTGCAATGGCGTCTCCGTCGTGGAGGTTTTAGCAAAATTTGGATCTAAAAAGACCATAAACACTAGAGTTATAATAAGCTGATAAAATGAGACTGAAAGTTTGGAAATGAGTTAAAATAATACACAAAGCATGATTCCAAGTCTGAAAGTTCAGTTTGGATTGAACAAATCTTCTCACCGACTACAAGTTCAACAACAGCAGCTTTCACTCTGCTCTGCAGCTTGGGGATGAAACATCTGTATCTGCCGTTGTCTTCCTCCGACACGTTCAGGATCTTCAGTGAAATGTTCCCGTGTTTCATGTCGTCCATGAACAGCTCCGTCCTCCTGAAGTACGAGGCCATCTTCATGTCGGGGACCTCCTGCCTGTCCCTGTACAGGTGAACGTACTCCACTCGGCTCAGCCGGTCCGACGGGTCGGGCTTCAGGTCGGGTTTGGACCACTCCACCGTCATACCCTGGACATTGAACGTGGGCTCCAGGTGACACGGCAGGATGACATCATCACCCGGAGCAGCAATGATTGGAAGATTTGACCCAATCACCAGAACCTCACCTGGAAATATGGAAAATTAAACCTCCCGAATTCCCACAGACCCCTGTAGAGTTACACCGTGAAGACCTGAAGATCATTAACAGCCCCATGAGTCTTTGTGCTGTTACCGCAGAAGTGTTTCTGGGACCAAATTAAATGAAACAACTACTCCTCAGTATATTTGGTAAAAAGAACTGTTTAATCCTTCAGTTTAAATGAAGTAGTGACATATCTGTGAAGGTTTTCAGCCATCCAGATTATCGTAGTCTCAAGCCCTTGCGTTAAAGGCTGCCAGAATTATTTTTCCCGTTTTATGTTCATGCAGATGCTTTAACTCTTATTTGAAACACCTGGAACATCCTACTCACACTGTGGCACTTTGGCTCTTAATAAACCATGTTGGTAGGGTGGCTCAGCGACTCACAGGACCACCTCGAAGCTGAAATACCTGCGACTTCCTGTCAGTATTTAGACCTGGAGAAGACCTCTTCGAAGAACCAAAACCATTCCTACTGTCTTCAACTCAAGCGTTTATGTAAGGAACGTTTGGATTCGGGGAATAAACAAAGTCATGTCCTTTTTGTTATGTAACATGCAATTTTTTTTTTTTTTTTAAATATGTGATTTTTTTTTATAAAGAGAGAATGCTGATTTCTGTTGGACTGAAATATCTCATCGTCTTGGTTGGATTACCATCTAATATTTATGTCCCACCCCCAAGGATGAACTGTTGCCTGTAACTTTGTAATGAGATTAAATGTGTCAGGCTCAGCTTTGTGTCTTTAATAAAGAGAAACGCTTTGCTGCCTTATAAACAGTAAATATTTTAATTTCATTAATGTATCACTGGATTATACTTGGATTGAGCTTTATTTAAATGTTCATTATATCTGTGTAAGTTGTCAGTCATCCATGTTCACACATTGGACATAGAAGACAGATGGTTTGAAAGAGGAGTGAAAGACGCCATCTATGTCCACTGTGAGCGACCATCTTTGAACAGAGGCGGGGGTTTACGACACCAACTCTCTGCCATCTATAATCCAGTTTTGAGATCCCTCCCCAGACGCCTTAACGCCCACTCACATCTTGCGTCAGTCGATTTCAATGGATCACGTGATAGGATGAGGCAAGGTCTCACAGCGGTTTCACCTGAAACATGTGGTGATAATGACCCACACTCTTTTTCACATCTTGGCTCATGTGATGAGGCACATGATAAATAGTGTGTCAACAACCCTCTTAAGGGAAAACTCCCACTATGGCTTAAAAAACCTGGGACTCCTGAGACAGCTTCATGAAACTTAAAGAAATCCAGTCTCTTTTCTTTCTAGGCGTAAGCTTTTTACTTTTTTTTTTTTTACATTTCTTTGTTGTTTTCTGGGTTTATTTTTCATTTATTTATTCCCCTTTTGAGCTCTTTTGGTATAAAATATAAGGTAAGATTTACATTATGTATCTTAGCAATAAATGCTCAAAAACGTAAAAGATTTGAAGACATTTGAGATTAGAATGAATTTTTATCCTTAGTAAAACTATTTTGTTTTTATAAATATATGAAATCCCTCCGTTTAATTCTACAGGGAGGAATAAACAACATATTCATTATACATTGCTTAGTTTTAAATCTGCTTTTTGCCTTTAGAGAAGGCTCTTCACGAGAATTCAAATTCTGATCAATAAAACAATATTTTCCTTTTTTAAGGTTACCTGCTTACATTAAGCAATCTCTAATTACTTAGTGTAAGTTCCCTTTTCACGGTGAGTATAAAAACTGTACAGATATACACTTCTGTAATAGTGGGCACAAACATTCATGGGACTGTGTCTAGATTTATAATTATGTATGATGCAGTTTCTGGTGTTTGTGTGGCAAAAACAATGCAACTATTAAGCTAAAGTGAAGCTATTAAGTGCTGAGGTTTAACCACTCGGTCCTGAAACTGTGCAGTGAAACACAGGACCAAACGTTGTCTCTTCACTGATAATATAAATACTGTCTTATTTTAAGTTGGATTCATTATAAAAATTGCTAAAGTAAGGGTGTATTGTCCATATATAAAACATTCAACATAAACAGTGTGGTTTAGCTCGCCCTCCTTTCTTGATAGCATTTTTTGCAGGCACTGATCGTTACTTTTTAAATTCAGTGTAACAAATTTCAAAGTGTGGACATGTTACCGCGATGGCTGCTGAAGGTGACTCCTACATTTCTAGAAGACACTGTGTTCTATCAAGGGACATCAGATTAACTGGAAAAAGAAATCCACAACTTACTAAACTGTCCAATCAAACTGGAAAAGGTTTGAACAGAGTTTATAATGCAACCATAGACAAAAACATGAATCGTGAAAAGAAAAATATGAAAAAAAATTAGAATATTAATATTGTTTTTAAAAATTAAGAATAATAGTTCAAACTCATTGAATTAGTTTTTTCAGGTAATATTTAATTTATCATATCAGGTTGTGAGTGCTGTTATCATGTAGAGTGACCAATATTACCTACAACAGTGATTCATTAGTTGTAACTCTGATAAAGTCAAAGTAATAATAGACAAGACAAAGTCATCAACCCCTTGTTTAGAAACTTAGAGCAAGGACACTTGAATGCTAAATTTCCATTGGGAATATCAAAATCATAATTGCCAAAAAATTAAATATGATTACAACATATACAACTTAATATCAATAAAATATGAAAAAAGAAACCACAATACAAATCAAACATTGCTTCTCTGCCAAGATGAACTACCTGATTATGTAAAACAAAGGAGGGCTCCATAAGAGGCTACAGGTTAATCGTTTTAAAACAACTAACTATTAATGTGAATCTTCTGCAACCCAGCCAAGCATTTGATCATCATACTGGATAATTATTCATTCATTCATTATTTTTTAATTTATTCATTTTAATCCTGTCATTATTTACTTGTTTAGCTTCATTCTCCACCTGATATCCACTGTGATGAGATTAAGCTGAGCTCAGGGCTATACAAGAATAATAAGTATCTAGACTTTGCTTCATTCGTTCGGTTTAAAGTGTAAATATTTATTGGTTGTTGTTTGGGATTACAAGTTTTTTAAATTTGAAACATATATTATTAATGTATGTATTCCAGTCCACTTAAATTTTTTTAATTAATAATTTTTGTAAATTGATTCGATTTCATTTAACGTTAAAAATAGAAATATATATTTACGCACATACACTAGGTCACAGCACATTAGAGCCGCCCTGATTGGACGAAAATCACGTGATTCAGGTTTGCGCCTGAAACAAGATGGTGGCTCATTCCAAACTGTAAATTTCACAGCAACGACTGCGCGAAACGAGTCTCTGAAAACATTTCATGCGACAAACCGGATGTTTAGTTAGTGTATACGTCATTATTTCAGATAACCAGATGCTGGTTTTCCCCGAATCGCCACAGTTATCGCGTCACCGGAAGTGTTGCTAAGCACGTGTGTAAACAGAACAAACATGGTTACTGTTTACATTGTGATAAACTCAGGGTTCTGCTTCGTGTGGCTTCAGTATCGGCCTTAAACCTTCACACACAGACATGACACGCACAGTTATAGACTGTTCGGTGGATCAAAATAAAATCACGAAAATAAACCGCTCGTTAGAGAAGTTACCCGAGAATCATCACATTTAATATATTATTATGTAATATCAAAGTAATTCGCTGAAAGCTGTCATCGCTTATAATACCACACGGCAAAGGAAAATTGATAATAGTTAATTTGGCTGATTTGATTCATAAAATGTTATTAAACTGCAGCTCAGAGTAACGTTTAAAATATCCGCTTACCCTGAACCAGAGTCCACACGCTGAAAGCCGAGCACAGGATAGAAGTCCACAGGAACGAAGAGTCCTCAAAGAACGAGTTGTACACAGACATGGTGGATAAAGTACACAGTCTGAATGAATGAATGAATGAATGAATGAATGAATGAAGGCTCCTCTCGACTGTGTTTCTGCCTCCTGCTCCCGAATATTCTCTCTGACACATTTTCTCTCCGCCGGTTGCTCAAATACTCTCAGTGTGTTTTGGAAATATGGGCGGATCTAAACTCCACCCCTCTCTGTGTTGATTGGCTTAAAATGACATAGCCAATACGCTTTTCCGGGTTAACTGGTATGCTTGGTGTTTCCTTGGCAATATTTGTTTACAGTTCTAGATTTTTCTTTTCTTTTTTAAATTGCCATTTGTCATGTGATTTTTGTTTTCAGAAAAACATCTTTGTCATGACAGATTGAATTAAATGTCACCTGACAACGAATGATTTTGTATATATTAAAACAGTAAAAAAATAAATAAAGTACATGTATATATAAGTATATATCAAAAGGAGGGATGTCACAACAATGAATCACCGGTTTACAAAGAGATTACAAATGTCTTGTTGCATTTCTTGTTTGGTTTGCGTAACTAATACTAATACTATGTGGAGGTAGAAAACGCAAAGTGTTTCTACAGACAAAAGCAAAACAGTGAATTCAAACAAAATAAGAAATTGGGGAAAATTAACAAACAATTAAAACAACACATATTTTGTAGTAAATACCAAGTAAAGGCTTGAAAAAACGTTTTATCACACCATCCCTTTTTTGAGGGAAAGAAAACAAACAAACAAAAGAATCTGCTGGCTGTAAATTGCTAATGCTACCCAGTCATATAAGTGTTAAGGCCAATATGTGACCCGCCTCCCACTGTGACACAAACTTCAATACAAGAGCAGTGAATTTAGGCCAAATGTGTATTTTTATTAAAAAACTAACCACAGCCTGTCCAGCTTAATTCAGTTTTTATATAAATAAATACGTTTACATAAATATGTAACTGTTTTATGCACCGTACAAACAGTATAAATAGTTCCTGTTATTACTGTGCCCAACCGGCAGTATGTTCCCCAACCACCAGGGGGAGCTGGTGGAGCAGAGCTGAAAATGAACACTGTGGTCTTTGCATGTGAACTTCCCTCATGTGCAGCAGGTGCTGCCGGCTCTGTTCTCTGTGCAAGAGTCGTACTGCCCTTATTTTCACTGATGAGATGAGCCTGCAGCAGGTCTTGAGTTGATTTATCTTTGACCTGTAAACAGGTCAAAGATAAATCAGCTCACAGGAGCTACAGTATCCAGAGTCGTACGCAGTGAGGAGGTGAAATTATTAACAAGTCTGCTGTGAAGATCCTGTAAAGACAAATTTTAATGCTTCATGAAATATTATCATCAGCCTCTTAAGAAATACAGCAAGACTGTCATAGCTGGCTTTGGGTCCCTTCATCCTCTCGATGTTTCTGTTAAAAGAAGTTAAATAATGAGTCAGTCTGAGGGCACAAGAAGCAACAACATGTTTGTGTTTGGTTCTCACTTTTTGTTTCTGAACCAGGCGATGGGAAAAATATGCTGCAAAAGCAGCAACTGATATTAAGGCCATGAAAGCGACGTCCACAAAGACCCTGGAACGACCTACTGATGTAGAAATGAACAAGGTCAAAACAAACATACAGTTTAGAAAAAAAACTTCACAAAAATAGAAACAATGCAGAGAACAGTTGGAGTGTTTTCTCACCATTTCTCTGAGTCACATCTTGAGGATCAGGAGTTTGGAGGTTTCTAGGAAGCAGCAGCATGTCCATCGTCGTGGTTTCAGAGACATTTGGATCTAAAAGAGACACATAGTCAGCGTCTGTTTGTAAAATGAGGCTGAAACTTTGAAAATGGCTAAAAAAAAACCAACAAATCTTCTCACCGACTACAAGTTCAACAACAGCAGCTTTCACTCTGCTCTGCAGCTTGGGGATGAAACATCTGTATCTGCCGTTGTCTTCCTCCGACACGTTCAGGATCTTCAGTGAAATGTTCCCGTGTTTCATGTCGTCCATGAACAGCTCCGTCCTCCTGAAGTACGAGGCCATCTTCATGTCGGGGACCTCCTTCCTGTCCCTGTACAGGTGAACGTACTCCACTCGGCTCAGCCGGTCCGACGGGTCGGGCTTCAGGTCGGGTTTGGACCACTCCACCGTCAGACCCTGGACATCGAACATGGGCTCCAGGTGACACGGCAGGATGACATCATCACCTGGCGCGGCGATGATTGGAAGATTTGAACCGATCACCAGAACCTCACCTGGAAACAGATGGAAAATTAAAAAGTTAAACCCTTTGAACTCCCACAGACCCTCATGACTAGAAATGTGTTTCTATAAAACATTTCTAGTCACACTGAACATTTTAGGTACAAGTCAGATTTTTGAGGCGCACACACACACACACACACACACACACACACACACACACACACACACACACACACACACCTGATAATCTGTTTAAAGGAAATGCAGACGAGGCTCAGTTTACTAATGTTCACAACTCAGAGACGTTCAGCTGATTATCAGATGAGACAAAGAAAAGCAAAAGGCACTGAAAGCAACGACATGGAGTATTTTGTGCTAATTAATCAGATTCAGATTTCTGATTGAGTCATCATGACTTCTTTTCATTGCTTCGTGTCACAGTGACAGTCTTTGAACTACCCAGAGTTTAAGAAGATCATGAGATGAAGCTGCAGCATGTTGATAACTGGATCAGCAGGACGTGGTCTTACAGCAAACCAACAAAACAGCAGAAGATCTGCCTTCTGTCAGTTTTTCACAATGACTCATAATGTGGAGGATGTGTTTCTGTAACTATATAACGAACCCTACATACACGTGCTGCTCAGCAATAATTGCCTGTGATCTGCAGACACATGAAGTCTAGAAACTAGACTCAGCTGCTTATTTCCAAGATGGATCCACATATTTGGTCTGACTCAGATTTTGACACCGGACGCCTTTCCTGCAGACACATCAGTTAAAACTGTATGTATGGATGAGATTAGAGAGCAGAAGTTCCTGTGAGTCACTCACACATGGCATTGCTAGCTGCTGAATCATGACCAGAGTATCTGATTAGTTTGGTTAGTCTTATAAGATGAGTTATTAAAGTCAAAGCTCCTCGTTTGATTTATTATCAAATCAGCTTGAACCAGACTGTAGAGCATGTTTCACTTACAGTCAGAGCTCTCTTACTTTAGTACACTAAAGCTGTGTTGTTCTACTTCATGCTAGGCTCAGTGACTCTGCCTCAGATAACCTGTAACAGAGCAGTGATTAAAAAAAAAAACAATAACTGAGTGTTAATAAAACCTTCAGTGCTCCACCCAAACCTTTAAACCCAACTCTAATCATCTGTTTTTACTCCACCCTTCACATCCTCCTCATACACCCTCTAAATGAAGTCGTTTCCACTCAGTGATGATAGAACACCAGCTCAGTACAATACAGACTTCATCCTGTGTGTTAGTCAGAAACAAAAAACGCTCTATTATATTTTTTAAACATAATTTTGTTTTTTGTTTAAATTCTGCTGCATTAACAGAAGCAGCAGTCTGGCAAGTTCACACTCACACAGTCCACCTGCTATATTAACGGGGGGAAGCCGCAAATCACAGGGGTGAACCTGAATCATCTCGTTTAAACTTCTTTCCGTGTCAGTAAGTCACTGATAACTGTCTTTGCTCACAGCGACACAGAGAAGAAACCACAGCTGTGAGCTGACAGTAACGTTTACCTCGAACTGGAGTCCACACGCTGAAAGCCGAGCACAGGATAAAAGTCCACAGCGAGGCAGAGAGCGGGCTGCACACAGACATCGCAGATAGAGCACGGACTGAGTCAGTCAGGTCTGTGTTTCTGCCTCCTGCTCAGTCAAAGCTCGTCTGTGATTGGTTGAATACAGCAACAGCTGACTTGCTCCGCTGCTGAACATATTTCTGTCCTTCACAGTGTTTGCGCGATTTAACAGGTGGTCAGGCTAACTGGTGATATTCGTTTATATATGAATGAATAAATAAATAAATCTTACAATTCATCGTGTCTATCAGTAAACTCACTGCGCTCATGATCGCAGATAAACATGTTTTTGACTCTAGCAATTTAATGCCAGAATTTTTAAATCAGGAACTCCAAACGTGAAACATCCAGAAACATCTGGAAACACCTGGAGCCTTGACCCGTTAACGTTCGTTATCAAACAACATGATCACCAGATCAGTTGTTCTTTGTTGTTAACAATAATTACTCATTGCTATAGAAAAGCTTGGACCACGGAAATGTTAGAAAAAAACATGATCTATAACAAACAATAATATTTAACTGTAACTCGATGAAGGGGACAAAATAAAGTTTCCAAAGTCTTCAAAAACTCCCATAAATCCCCGCGGTTTACCCCGTGATTACTTTTAGATTCAGCTGGCAGATAAAACAGGTGTTTGTCACAAGCTTCATGACTTTGATGACTCAGAACATTGATGCTAACTCATGCTGCAGGAGAAGACAAAGCGAACAAAATAAAACCATAAAACTAAAATATTGCTGTGCCTCTTATGATACTGAAAGACAAAATACTGCTGTATTTGCTTTGGTCATCTGTTTGTCTGCCATGATTGTTCTCTCAGCGCTCTGACCCCTCTGAAAATACTGTTGATTATATTTTATTTATTTATTTTTACTATGATTTAATCTTTAATCTCACTGTCTTTGGATTCATTTTGAATCAGCTGAAAGTCCCTCTGAACGTCTCCGCTGATGTGTTGATCCTTCTTCTGTGAAATGATTTAAATCATCTGAATATGCGATGTGTTTCACTGCGCTATGGTTAGCTAAAAAAAACTTTAACAGATCCTGATATGAAGTCAGATCTCAGCATTTCTTTTTATCGGTGTAACGTTGTGAGTGTGCAGACAGGCTCTGGATTTACCCACACCTACGTGTCTAGACACAAGCAAATTTGAAGGGATGTTATTTGTAAGTCACTGATTCTTAAAGTAAAAGTTACTTTTTTACTTCTATTTTTTTATTATTTTTTTTTTACTTTAAGACTGTTTTGGTGGAGGAATTAACAACAACTCCCATGATGCATTGCATCAACGTATCCATCTGAGACCCTGTGTGGGTCTACTATGTGAACACTTAACACGGGTTCACGAACAAATCAGCTAAGTTCAAGATGTCACTGCGGATCGTCTGTAGCCTGAATAACGATCATTAACTCTCAACTCTTCATGGTCTTCATGATGGTGACGATGAAGAGTTCTGAGCAACGCTGTGTGATCCTCGAACTTTTGGTATCGACTCAATACTGATTAACTACAGTATTGCCAACACCAGTACCAATACTTTCAAATTATAAAGTCAGCTTCCTCAAAGTTGAAAAACGGACTCAAGGCATTCTTGACTTTTACTGCATTTAATGGACACAAGTGGCACCAACCATACCATTTGAACTGTACAAACAACATAGAGTGATCAGTTTTCACAATAAGTTGTTATCATAGAGAATAAACAATAAAGCATATTATTCAACAACATAAAAAACATTCACAATTTGACCTTTACAATGACCAACATAAACTTGACAGTTCTGTCACAAACAAACATCTAATTTTTCTACTAACATATAAAACACAAATTGCAAACCTCATTGGCCGCATGAACTTGAAGGGGTTAATGAAAACACATCTCGCAGTGCACACTCTTTCCCCATAGCCGGGAAACTTCTTTGCATGCGTCTACATAGCTCTACCACCAACTGAGAAAGGAAAGCATGCTGCTCTCTACCGAGTGTGAAGTGTAAATGAAAATATTGTCAACCTCAAACAACAGACTGAACATTGGTTCCACCCTGGAAACATTCTGTAAAACCTTTAAATGTCTGTTGTTAAACCAAAAATGTATACATTAAATATGATTTATTAAAAAGAAAGTACTTTAATGTATTTATTGTAACTTACACCCATGAAATTACCATAAACTGCATAACTGCTGCTGACGGCAGTCACAAGGGGAGAGCAGTGTGTCATCATCTATGTGCCAACAACACCAACACGAGGATATCATATCGTGCGTCTGAGATGAACCATCAGCAGTTCTGAACACATTTTAATGACCACTAAATCACTGTGACTTGTACTTTCTGTATAAATATGCTTTTTTTCTGAGTGTAGTCTTTTGGTTGTTTTCTTCAACCGTCTCCCTGTGTGTGTATTTGTGTCCATGCTCCCAGATGTTTTGGGTTGCCAGATCGTGATCCTGCAAGTGTTCCTGCGCTGGAGGAAGCCACACCTGCCACTCGTCATCAGCGCCTTATTTAAGAGTGTGGCTGAGCTCCAGTCGGTGCCGATTCTTCCTTCTGACTTGTCAGTACAGCCGCGGTCTGCTATTTTAGAAAACCCTCGCTAAAGGAAGGATCGTCTAGTCATCAATGTGTTTTGTCTTCACTAGGTATTGGTAGGAGTTTGCTGTTTTCACTATGCACTTTTTATAGACACTTGCACTGTGTGGATCAGGGAGGAAGCGCCACGCCACCCCAGTGCCTGGAACTTGTAAATAGTGATTCATTGTGCACTTTATAAATAAATTCACTGTTCACCACAAGAGTCGTGCATTTGGGTCCTACTTCTCGCCTGCAACTCCATCGTCTGCCACCACAGTCTCTGACAAATTCAGTGACATACAGGACTGAGGACTCGAGTCTGCACCTGTGTTAAGTGGAACAAAACAAAAACAGTCCTGGAGATGGCTATAAGAGTTATTATAGTTTTGCATTTTCTGACAATTTTTAGATTTTATTTTAGTTAACTAAAATGTCACTCTTTGTTTTTTTTATATGTAGTTTTAGTTTTTATTTTAGAGGGTTAAGACTGTTTTTGTATGAGGCCCTGAAAGCTAGTTTGTGATAAGGAGCAAGACGAGGACTACCAGACCTGGCAAATTAAATCCAGGTAGCTCCTCACGTGCATGTTTCCCATCAAACTGTCAGAAACATGAGACTAATAAAAACTTCATCATACATGACATTAATTGAGACATAAAGGAGTAAGAGTGTGTATATGTGTGTAAAGCAGTAAGAGATGACTGCATCAGACTGAGCTAAGAATAATAAAACTCTGTAGAGCATTTTAATATCTGTGAAACACAAAATAATTCACAAAAATACAAACTTTCATCTAATCAAACAGTTTGAAAACTTCACAAAATGCAAACAGGAAACAACACACAGAAATGATAAATAAATAAATAAATATATATGAGGCACGGAATAATTTATTTATAACACACTTTAAAAACAAAGTTTACAAAGAGCAGGAAGGAGGTGATTTTAAACATTAAAGACAAATAAAAGAAACACACTAAAGTTCATAAAAAATAAGTAGAACAAATGTCAAGACAAACATTTAAAAATCAAAGACACCATCTCTCCATCTATGGTCAAGTGCATGCTTCACATCAGCGAGGTTAACTGCGAATTTCTATACCAAATAAAAGCTTTTTTAAGTTGACCCCAGAGAAAGATGGTAAGATGCCCCGTTAGTCAGAAATATACTATAGTGTAAAATTAAATAATCAGCTCAAGTTTTATATAGTCAGTTATTTACAAATAAATACCTGTTATTCATCCATGACTCCTACATAATGTTTGTGCAATCAAAGTAAACATCTGTCAGATTATTATCACATATTTACTGCTTTGCAAACTTCATAAAGTACAAACAAACAAAGAAAACAAAACGAATACGTACAAAATAGAAAACTTATTTTTTTAAGTAAATACTTTCCTCGGCAGAGCTTCGTGCTCTCAGACTTCTTGCTATTTATGATGATAATAACTTACATGTAACGTCTTTCATTTATTTACTGTGTAGCATTCACTCTGTGTTTTATCTGATAGTTGTCAAACACTTTTGTAAAAGTGACCTTATGATGATCTCAGTGCTGCTGGACTGAAGTGTCTTCCTGTGGCTGCTTGTTTGAATCCCCAACCAAATTGTCAGGATCCAGAAAAGATAAACCAACGCTCTCCACTCCATTAACACCAACAATCCTTTGTGCAAAGCACTAGTAATTGTTATGACTTTGGATCCCCTGGTCCCCCGAATGCTTCTATTAAAAGAAGTTTAATAATGAGTCAGTCTGACGGCACAAGAAGCAAAAACATGTTTGTGTTTGTTTCTGACGTACCTTTTGTGTGATGGCGAGAGAAATAAGCAGCAAGTGCAGCGACTACAAGTAAAGAAACAGTGATGATGATGGAGATCAGCACAGCGACCCTGGACCGACCTGCTGAGGTGAAAAAAGGTCACCACAAATGGACCAAAAACGTCACCAAAACAGAAATGATGCAGAGATAAATCTGGATTTTTTTTTCCTCACTGTTTCTCTGAGTCGTGTCCTCAGGATCTGGAGTTTGGACGTTTCTGGGATGCAGTGGTGTCGATGACATTTTCCCATAGTTTGGGTCTAAAAGACACAAAAAAACATAAGAGTCATAAATTGTTAATAAAAATTTGAGTTTGGAACCACAAACATCAACAAAACAAATCTTCTCACCGACTACAAGTTCAACAACAGCAGCTTTCACTCTGCTCTGCAGCTTGGGGATGAAACATCTGTATCTGCCGTTGTCTTCCTCCGACACGTTCAGGATCTTCAGTGAAATGTTCCCGTGTTTCATGTCGTCCATGAACAGCTCCGTCCTCCTGAAGTACGAGGCCATCTTCATGTCGGGGACCTCCTTCCTGTCCCTGTACAGGTGAACGTACTCCACTCGGCTCAGCCGGTCCGACGGGTCGGGCTTCAGGTCGGGTTTGGACCACTCCACCGTCAGACCCTGGACATCGAACATGGGCGCCAGGTGACACGGCAGGATGACATCATCACCCGGAGCAGCGATGATTGGAAGATTTGAACCAATCACCAGAACCTCACCTGGAAACAGATGGAAAATTAATTATCCTGAACTCCTGCAGAACTTCCACAGATCTTCAGTGTATAACTCTGTAAAGTGACACAAACACAAACACTTGAAGATCTTGAACAGCCAAATGAGTGTTTCCGCTGTTATTCCAGAAATGTTTCTTACTGAGATCAAATTATTTAAAGAAAGAAGTCCTCCTCAGTCTACTGGTAAACAGGACAGGGATCTCAATATCAGGATGCGAATTTACAGCAGAATAAATTAAGCTGAATGCATCCGGTTTAAATGGAGGCATATCTGTGCTGGTTCAGACACACGCAGTGTCAGGGATTCAAAGTTTTGATCATGGGAAACAGTCTGGTCAGTAACTGCTTTAATCTAAACCTGGGGCCCGTTCTTCGTACCTCGCTAAGTAAGTTAGCTAGATTAGATTGTTGACGATTTCGCGTGATCTTGGATCGTTCGGTTCCCCGAAGCTCATCCGGGACTTGCTGTCATAGCAACAGAGCCGTAAGCGTAAACCTGCTCGGGAGCAGGTTTACTTGATGTAAACAGGATTAGATCGCGGCCACGCAGGTATGTCCGCTTCATTTATACGAAAGCAACAGCGATATTTTACCACTGTTTCACCATAAATAAATAACATCAATGTAACTAAAGATAATGCAGCACTTGATCTTTGTATTGATGTCACACAGATACATACAGGTCATTTCCTAAAAAAGGGAAATGTACTATTAACATTCTATTACGTGTATGTGATTATTACAGATGTAATTCATATTTCAGAGTAGTAATTGTAAATCACTCCGTGTAATCAAGATGAGAGACCACGGCTATAAAAGCGAAGGTGGATTTGGGAAGCCTGTCGCAGTCATATCCTGTCCGTTTACGCGAGCCACCCATTGCGGAAGGTGCAAGATTGATAAGGAGAGTTTTCAGAATCCAGCGTATATTGCGGGACAGACAGGATCCTTTACCTCAGCGCGACAGTGTGCTCATAGAGAGATATCGATATTCCCGTGAGGGTATTATTTACTTAACCAACTTGTTGACGAGGGGGTGCAGGACCACCACGTGTCTTTTTTTGCTCTGCCCTTTTCTTGGTTGCTGTTATGAACAAACTAACAGACTATTACAGGGTCCCTTGCCAAGAGACGCAAAGCAATATAAGTGATAAATATTACCATTCTGTAGAATACTCCTGTATTTCACTTTTACTTGTTCCCATGTTCTTGTGGGTCCTGTTGTGGCTCTAATGTGAAAGGGGATATAATATAACATAATATAATATAATATAATATAATATAATATTGGATAATATAGTGTCATATGATAGATCTACCCTACCGCCTACTGGTGTTGGCCAGAGGGGCCGATGGCGCGATATGGCAGCCTGGCTTCTGTCAGTCTGTCCCAGGGCAGCTGTGGCTACAACCGTAGCTGCTTCCACCAGTGTGTGAATGTGGGAGTGAATGAATAGTGGTATCGTAAAGCGCTTTGGGTGCCTTGGAAAGCGCTATATGAACCCAATCCATTATTATTATTATTATTATTATTAAATCACCTACGAGTTTAATTTGTCAGCAACTTTCTGCCAGCCCTCTCTCCTTGCTTTTGCAGCCTTTGCAGTGTTCCCTTGCGTTTTAATTAAACTCTGAAACTCCTGAAATCCCTCACTCAAGAGTTCTTGCTCTGCTGCCGGAAAATACCGAGCGCGCTCCTTCGACATTTTTGCCGACCAATCAGCGGGTTGCCGATCAATGTTTCTACTATCGATGCGTAGCCCCTTTTACGACACCCAGTGATGTCACATTACTGCGTCCAGCTGTACTAATCGTCAACAGCAGGTGTGTTCGGGGAACCGGATTAGCGAGCTCATGGTTAGCGCGATGATTTGGTCTTGGATGTGTCATTTGATCTTGGATGTAGTAAGCGACGTACGAAGAACGGGCCCCTGAACAGCTTCCTCTGTGAGTAATCTCTGTAAACAAGTGAAATCATCATGAGATCATCAGACAGACAGTAAAATGCTGGGTTCCTGTGGGTACCTGCTGATCCAGAACAAGGAAATTACAGTAACCAGACACAGGAAGACAAAAAAAACAAAACAAAAAAAACCTAAATCCACAGAGACTTTTAACCAAATTCTTCTGAATTAGGTTGTTAAAGCCAAAACTAGCTCATCTGTGGAAAACCATGATGGACGCATATGTCGGCTAAAAATATTGGAACATAGTGTTAATTCATCCCCTTACCACAATGTATGATGTGGTTTCTGGTGTTTGTGTGGAAACAACAACGCAAATATTCAGTATATTAGGTTTGTGTGACGTTGGTTAATTCAGTCCTCGTTTGCTGACATTATTCCCCCCCCCCCGTAAGGCCATGATTTCTTAAATAAATTCAATGTAATTTAAGTGAATTAAGTTCTACAGTGTGGAGACGTTACCAAGTTGGCTGCTGAAGACTTCTGGACTTCTAGAAAGACTTCCTGTACCATCACGGGACGTCGGAATAACTGGAAAAAGAAATTCACAACTTCAGAAGAGATCATGAGAAGATAGAGCAGATTTTATTATACAAGCAGCTGACATCATACACAAAAACATGAAGCCTGAACATGAATATATTCAAAAACAAATAAACAAAAACATATAAACATATGGAAATTAATTAATATAATCTTTTTTTGCCTTATATTCGGTAATGTTTTATTAAATTGTGATGTTTAATGCTTTCTATATAGATTAGTTAGAAATATTCACAAAATAATTCCTTGACCCTGATAACAGGTCAGATAAAATAATAATAATAATAATAATAATAATAATAATAATAATAATAATAAAGAAACCATACACAAAAGTCCCTATATAATTGAATTTCTTTTATGTCTAGTCACCAGTGATTAACTAACTGGATGTGTGGTGGGGGTTCCAGAAATGACTCAATGATGGAATTAAATCAAGACTGAAAAGAGCAGAGTCATGATTACCAAACAATAAATGAGCTTATGACATGTGTAAATTTACAACTCAGTAGAATATTCTTAGAAAGATCAAATGTGTGTACCACACAAATTAAGCACCCCTTCCCTTCCAAGGTGAACATATCTGTTCAGAACAAAGCAGGAGATCCATAAAAAGCTACAAGTTAAACTATATTTTCTTCTATGTTCTTATTTTGTACGGTAGGTTCAGGGAGTTTACCTCATAAAACAGTGGAGTAGGACAGTAACTTAAAATCTAACGCAGAATGGAAACTTTAAACTGAAAGCCTGACTAAAAATATTTACAAGAATAAGTGAAACATATGTAAAATCAAGACTTTCACGTGACTGAATTTGATTGGACAAATCAGTCACGTGATCAGGCCTTACAACTGCGCCGAAATGGCGGCTCATTTCAAACTTTGAAAAAGTTTGAAATGTGTCATTACGTGATATCAGAGATTATATTTAATGTTTTCTAGCGAGTTTCCACACCGGACATGTTACCTTATTTCGTTCTTGTTGCTAGGCAGCAATGTGACGCACGCGTTTTGTTTACGCTGTGAGAAACAGGTGTGGCGCGTCTGACGTAAATAGGCATGTCGAACCTTTACACATCTTTAGAATGCTCAGTGGATCATCGCCTTTATCCGACCTACATAACACTCTTATCAACGCTCAAATGGGAAGAAACCGCTTCATACGGGGCAGAACCTGCCTGATAATCACCACAATTCAACATTATTTTACGTCTCAAAAGTAATTAACTGATGTCATTACTCACAGTGACACAAAACAAAGTTGAACTGCTAAAAGGGAATTCGGCTTGTTTATTTCTTGAAAATGTGAATGAAATGTAGCTGTGAGTTTACCTTGAACGGGAGTCCAGACGAGCAAAGCTGAGAACAGGATGAAAGTCCACAGTGAGGATGAGTCTCCACCCAGCGAGCTGTACACAGACATGGCTCATAGTTATTCTTTGAATGAATAACCCGAATCATCGTGGACCGTTCAAGTAGGCTACTTCTTTAGCTCCGCCCCCCTCTCGCTCTCTTTTCCTTAGTCATTTGACTAGAAACATCTGGAAACACCTGGAGAAAACACGACCAGCCAACACAGTCATGAGCTGGAACACCCTTTCACCCAGTTATGTAGGTCTTACTAAACAAAAGTCCATCACTGAGCTATAAACAAGTGTTGTTCTCCATCACTTTGAACTACAGACATATTTGCGATAAATATACCCCCTGCCCTGATCCTCTGGCTCTTCTGGGTATTTCTGTTTGCAACACTATCACTCCAGGACACTTAGGCTGACCTTAGGAGTAATTTTCAACTGTATCAGATTGCTTTGCATGTTAAGTTGGGCACAAAGATTTCCCTTTTTATAGATATTGTTGGAAGTGCAGCTTCCATCCTTATCAGGGTCGGGAGGGAGCCCATCCCAGCTACCATAGGGCGGGAAACGGAGTGCACCCGTGACAGATCTCCAGTCTGTTGCGGGCCAATACAGAAAGACAGAAAAATTCACACTCACATTGCCTATGAGCAATGTAGAGTCTCCACTTAATGTTTGGACTATGGAAGGAGGCCATACCTAGAGAGAAACCTTTAAATTTCCTTTAACGCTTTGATCTGTATCGGATGCTGGAAAAAAAACTGAACATATTTAAACACAAAACAGTCTTGGTGTTTGGGGATGATTTGTTTCGGTCTAGTTAGCAATGATCAGGGGGATTTTAACCCTTTAATTTGTCAATCGGAGACGCTTTAAGGTCTCACTGAAGATTTAAGTTCTCTTTAAATACTCAGGTATAACATTTAAATAAGTTCACACAGTGAGACTAAATAAATGTTAAAAGTCCGCTTGTTCACTGTAGCTGTTTTATACTACGTTGCCCATGATGCACCTCGGTATCTGTACTTCCGGTTGGGAACGTGTTCAGCGCAGTTCAGGACAGATGAGAGGTGTGTCGGAGGAGTAACGTATTTACTTGCATTCCTGTGTGAGTTAATATTGTGTGCGTGCTTACCATATGACCACACACACACCCATATACACACTCACACCCCCTTTACCTGCATGTGAATACTGTAATGCCTCCCTACCAACGCTGTACATCCTGTTGATGTCATCTGCCACCTCCTTAGTAAAGTTATTTGAACTACATCACTGTGGAGTACCATTCCTTCTGACCGAGGACGACTCAGTTGAAGCGTGATCGGCAATCAGTGCAAACATACATTACAATAAATATTCATTAAACATGCTGACAGTGAGGCAGAGGAGTGTTTCTTCTCCAGCCTGAACTTCACATTTTTGTATTAAAGGAGGAAATCCATCAGTTTCACTGCTTGATGTTTCCAAGCAGATCCTCCAGAGTCTGACAGCAGCAACTCTGACTGAAGACGTCTGTAAGAAATATTTCCTGTTTAGATCCTCTGATCTTCCACTCTCTGTTTTCTTGTTCTACACTTTCTTTATGTGAAAATGAGCTTGATAGATAAACTGGACATGGTCTTGAGCTGGGGTCAAAGTTCAAATTAGGCTCACTTCCTGTTATAGAAGATGATCTTGGTGCTGCTGGGCCCGAGTGTCTCCCGGTGGCTGTTGGTTTGAATCCAACCTGACTGAAGATCCAGTAAAAATAAAAAGTGTTTTTCTCATTTGCCTCTGGCTGTTTCTGATTTTAAAAAAAAACAGTTGAAAAGATTTTTTTTTTTAAATCCAATTAAGTCTGATGGCAAGAATCGACATTATTTGTTTGTTTGTTTCTTACTTTTAATGTCTAAAAAAATGCACTAATAGAATTATGCAAAGAAAGCAGCGACAGCAGCAACGGACATGAAGGCGATGACAATGATGACCACAGAGACCCTGGTGATGTCAACAAAGGAAAAAAAGGTAAATGCACAAAAATGTCACCCAAACAGAAATAATGAGGAGAAGAGCTGGATTGTTATCTCACCGTTTCTTAGAGTTTTGTCCTGATGATCTTGCGTTTGGAGCGACGTCTCTGCCGTTGAGGTTTTAACGTGGTTTGGATCTAAAAGTCACGAAAAAAAAAATAAAATGAAACTGAAGGTTTGTAATGGTACAGAAAAAATACACAAAACTGTTGGGAACCACAAACATGACCGAAACAAATCTCCTCACCGACTACAAGTTCAACAACAGCAGCTTTCACTCTGCTCTGCAGCTTGGGGATGAAACATCTGTATCTGCCGTTGTCTTCCTCCGACACGTTCAGGATCTTCAGTGAAATGTTCCCGTGTTTCATGTCGTCCATGAACAGCTCCGTCCTCCTGAAGTACGAGGCCATCTTCATGTCGGGGACCTCCTTCCTGTCCCTGTACAGGTGAACGTACTCCACTCGGCTCAGCCGGTCCGACGGGTCGGGCTTCAGGTCGGGTTTGGACCACTCCACCGTCAGACCCTGGACATCGAACGTGGGCTCCAGGTGACACGGCAGGATGACATCATCACCCGGAGCAGCAACGATTGGAAGATTTGAACCAATCACTAGAACCTCACCTGGAAACAGGCAGAAAATTAATTCTCCTGAACTCCTACAGAATTTCCACAGATCCTCAGATCGTCAGTGTATAACTCTATAAAGTTACACACAGAAGACCTGAACATCATGAACAGGCCCATGAGTCTTTGTGGTGTTACTGCAGAGGTGTTTCTGGGACTAAATTATTGAATGAAACAAGTCCTCCTCAATGTTTCCAAAACCAACAGAGAACTCATGGGAGATTTGTTTCACCCTAAAGCCTTGTTTAGTTCTAATAAGTGATGCCGAGTCAGTGGAATTAAGGAGCCTGGGACCTGGTAAACCTCAGTTCAGAGTTCACATGAGCTGAGGTTGTGTATAAACCTCAGCTCACAGGGTGACAGTGACATTGCACATCATAGGTCACAACACCACTGAAGGTTCAATATGTGGGACTCTGTCAGCTTTTATACGTGAAGAAACTGGAATACAAGGTCAGTAAAGTCAGGTTCTGCCATTTCTATCTTTGAAAGACTTCAAGAAAATAAATTTCTCTGGCCCATAACACTCACTATACGTTTGAGAGATTTCAGACATAACCAATGAGTATTTCTTAGTTTTAGTGATTCTTCTTTAGAGAGACGGCCCTTTAGGGATTAACCATGCAAATAAACAGGTCGAGTTTCTGAGTTCTGTCAATTTCGTTGAACTTCTATTCTTTATCACCTCTTCAAAAACAAAAGCATCCATCAAGTTTTTGAAGGAAGCCACAAGTAACAAAACTGGTTTAACACATGAAAACGTTGGATTACCTTCTTCAAAACTGTTCAACACTGCGGCTTTAATTTCATTAATTTGTTAATCAAATGCTCGTGATAACCCTCCCAGGCCAGAGACATGTCAACCGTTAGACATGACAAGGAAAGGCAAAGGTTTTTTGTTTGTTTCAGCTCCAGTTTAAACAGAATCACCTTTGTCTTCTTCCATTTCTTCAGTCTTTGGGGTACTAAGAGTTACAAGACGAGATGAAGAAACAGCAAGAAGCAGAGAGCGTTTAAAACTACAAAACAGAGCTGTTTTCACATTTAACTCATAAGCTGTCTTTGTGGAGGATGTGTAGCACAGCAGGGTAGAAGCCTAACCGATTAACACAAATGGATGTCTGCGTATATCAGGCAATAACTGATTATTGGTGGTTATTCAAACATGATCTACATGGCAGATAAACAACAAAGTCACCAAAATCACCAGAGCTGCTTATATTTGGAAAGTCCAAATGTCATCTAAGCATTTAAAACAAATGAGTTGTTATTATTAAATGTCACAACGTCCTTTTGTTCAGTCACATCAATTCTGAGCTGATTACTGATGAAATACTTTACAACAATTCTCCGTGACTCACTGACTGACTCATGGGACGGATACGTATTGAAGCCCGTTTGCAATAAAAAAAAAAATCAAACAAACAAACAAAAACAACCCAAAAATCAAGTATCTAAAATCGAAATTTCGAGTTACTTTTCTCAACATTTCGAGAAAATAACTCGAGTTATAGATCCTTTTTTTCCTTAGTGGTGGTAACGGGCTTCCATAGATATGGGATGGGTGGATGGATACGGCCAGATGCGGCTTCTAAGTCTCTCTTTTTTTTCAGCGGACGGTTTTAACGTTTACCGGGAGATCTCCACACCTGTCAGATGTTGGTGCCAAACAGCAAAGTATAGCACGTGTCTTCTATTACACTTTAATCACGCGCGGCCCTGCAGTATTAACAGAGACACCACGTTCACACTCACACTTTCAGCCTGTTCAGCGTTGTCCGTTATAATTAATCCTCTGTGAGCGCTTAAACGGGGTAAAGCCGCTCATCGCAAAGGAGAGCCTGCTTAAATCATCTCGTTGAAACTTCTTTCCGTGTCAAAGTAACTCACTGATAACTGTCATCACTCACAGAGACACGGAGAAGAAGAACACACAGCTGTGAGCTGACAGTAACGTTTACCTCCAGCCAGAGTCCACACGCTGAAAGCCGAGCACAGAATAGAAGTCCACAGTCCACAATAGAAGTCAGACATGGTGCACAGAACACGGAGTCCGTGGATTAATTAATCAAACCTGAGGTTGTCTGTGCTCCTGCCTCGATCTCACTGGATGTATGTATGAATGACCTGTTAGTCTTCAAATATCCAGATACGGTAACGAGCAATGTTCCCTCTAAGCTGCGCGCGTGCGCAATTGCTCACTGCTGCTGGCACGGTCTCTGCGCACAGAAAATCTGCGTTGCGCAAAAAAAAAAAATCTAACCTGAATTGAAATTAATATTAAAACTTTAACAATTCTGTTTTGCAGTGCTAGTCAGTAAGTGACTGGCTGCTTAGAACGATGCCACCTTATCCTAGTCCAGCCAATAATGCGATGGTTGAGATGTGAGAGATTTGCGACGTTTAGCGCAAATCTTGTGTAGTTAGTGTGTAGTGTAGTCAATAGTTTAGTTGTGTGTGTCAGAACAAGGAGGCGACTGCTGAATACTGCTTTTCATTTTTCAATCTATACCGGTACACATACCAGCCAAACAATTTGCGTTATGGAACAGAATGATTTCGGGATTTATATGGAAGGGCCGTAAACCCAGAGTTAGATAAATAACATTGCAACTACCTAAGGAACGGGGTGGACTTTCCCTCCCAAACTTTGAAAGCTATTTTAAAGCAGCACAATTAAGATACTTAATTTATTGGTGTGATCCTTTGTATGAAGCAAAATGGAAATATTTAGATGTGACACAATTAAAATCACCACTACAGACAATATTAGGAGATAAAAAATTATATTTGGAACAGAAAAATAATTTAAACGAATGGACTAAAACTCCTTTAAAGATATGGTTTGATGAATGCAAAAGCCTTAAATCAGGAGCTGGAATTAAACTCAGATGGGTCACACAGGCACTGCCTGAGGTTTTAAATGACTATAAAGGAAGTACAACAACACTTGTGGTCTTTTTAGATAGTGTTGACCATCAACTCTGCAAGTGAATTTATTTTACAACTGTCATTTGAACACTGAGATTGGGGAGCTTACTCGAGTCCCTGAAACAGAACACTGGACATGTTTCACATGCGTCATGCTGAGTCACTGGTGAGTCAATGTGGAAATTAGAGGAAGCGATGTTTGTGCTTCTTTAGTTCAGTCTCATGTTTCAGATCACTTGGTAAAACCATAAAGTCAGCTGACTACAGAGGCGAGGGTGTGGATTTTTTTAAATGATACATGTGGAACTAAATGTAAATCTGAAGTAACTGAAGTGCAGCTTTAATGCAAAACACATATCACATAAGTGTTGGGAGTTAGAGATTTTCATGCTGAGTCATTCTGTCTTCCTTGCTGTCACTTGGGATTTTTATTTGTCCAGTAGAGCAGGAAATCTTCTTTCTTCATCTTTTTGATTCTGGGTGGAGCAGGTGGATGTTTTCTCCTCTCTGTGTAGAAACCAGAGAGAGAGAGTCAGGAGCAGAGAAGCTGCAGATCAGACTGTAAAGATGAATGTTGAGGAGGAAGAAGCTGATGTGTTGTGATGATGTGACGGCATGTTGTCCGAGGTGCTCACAGTATAAATGTGGGAGTAGAAGGACGAGAGCAGCCTGATGTGAGCAGAGAGGAAGCTGCAGGTCAGCACTGCTGTTTTACTACATGTTACTGATCTGAGGGAAGAACTTCAGCATTTTCACGAAAACCACAGTGTTCAGTATAAAAACCTGTGTCACAGTTAATGTATTGTCATTAAATGTGTCGATTCTGTGTTTGGACGACTTCACAAGAAGTCTGACTAAGTAGAAATGGAAAGTTTCCTTCTTGAAGGAGATGAACTTTGAGCTCTACTGGTCAGATTTACACCAGCATAGCAGGAAAAAAGACTCTGACTGGAGGTTTGATAACATCAGGTGTGTCATCAAACCTGTGACACAAACAGCTTTTCTGCAGGTCAGCCAGCAGATGGCAGCGTTCTCTTAAAGAAAAGCTGCATTTGAACTGCATACACTATGTTGATGATTGACGTCAGGTTTATAAGGTGCAAACAATAAACAAAGTAAAGGCTCCATTAATATAAATATAGGTTCTCATTGTCAAATGTAACCATGTTACGAGGTAAACGGTGACTTAACATCAAATAGAGGCAAAAAAGAAAACAGTGTCTAAACGTGCTTGAACTTTTTACTTTCACACTCATATTTACAGACGATTTCACACATTCACATATATCACTGTAACTTTACACTCACTGCAGTAACAAATACATCCATCCAAAATTCTTAAATATAAATATTATTATAAATAAATATCTGAGGTAATAAAAAAATAAAATATAAAAATAACAAAATAAAGATCCTGAGCTGGCTAACAGCTGCAAACACATCTGTTTAACTGTGAACCAAAGGAGCTCTGTCATGTTACAGAGCAGGAATAAAGAAGAGTTGGACACAAACATCCTCTGATTTTTGCTCCGTAACTGCAGCAGAAACTACAGTCAGGAGGATTTCTGTCAGTCTGCACAAAGTTTGTAGCTTTAAATGACAAAAAGAGGAAGTTAAGCTTGAGCTCTGCATCAGGATCAAACTGCTTCTTTAAATAAATAACTAGAAACAGTCTGAACATCAAGTCCTGACCAGCAGGAAGTTTCAATTACATTTAATAAATTAACTGTGGCTTTAAAAATGAAGACCAATAAATATCTGAAGTTTCAATCACCTTGTATAAGGTGCTCACAGTCCTGTCATATAAAACTAGCTTTCATAAATAAACACTTTCAGCATCACAATAAGTGACTCTGTTTAAATTACAGCTGCATTAAACATCATTCACAGCAGGTCATTAACACAGTGCAGTAAAGTAATCAGCTTATAACCTGTTTTTGTAACTTCTGTGTCTCCCACACAGTTTTCAGATGAGGGTTTATTTCCATCTTTCCACCTGAGCTGTGTCACAAACGTTCATGGAAATTTCCTTTAATGCTGTGAAATCCTTCCAGTCCTGCTGTTTGGGAATAATTCACTTCAGTCCAGAACAGTGATGATGATCATTTCTTTTACAACATTTTCTTTGTGTGAAAATGAGCTCGATAAATAAACTGGACGAGGCTCGAGTCTTCAGCTGGGGTCAAAGTTCAAAGTGTGTTCTTTGCTAAACCAGCGTAGAAAAGCAGTATAGAAGAACTAGTCCATTTATTCCTTTGAGCAAGCAGCTAGACTGGTAGTGGTTGTTTTTCTGTATCATCATCCTCTGGATGCTTCTGTTGAAAAAAGTAGAATAATGAGTCAGTCTGACGACACAAGAAGCAACAACATGTTTGTGTTTGTTTGTTTGTTTCTTACTTTTAGTGTCTGGTGAAAAATGTGTCTGGAGAAATATGCAGCAAAACCAGCGAGAGCCAAAACTAATAATAAGGTGACGACAGCCATGACCACAGCGACCCTGGATCGAGCTGCTGATGTAGAAAAGACAAGAAGGTCACCACAAATACACAAAACCCCAAACAGGGATGATGCAGGGAAGAGTTGGACTGTGTTCTCACCATTTGTTGGAGTCGTGTCCTGATGATCTGGAGTTTGCAGCGGCGTCTCTGAGGTTTTAGCAAAGTTTGAATCTAAAAGACAAAACAGTCAAAATCTGTTATTAAAATTAGGCTGAAAGTTTGTATTGGGGACAAAAACAACTTTGAGTTTGGAACCACAAACATCAACAAAAATCTCCTCACCGACTACAAGTTCAACAACAGCAGCTTTCACTCTGCTCTGCAGCTTGGGGATGAAACATCTGTATCTGCCGTTGTCTTCCTCCGACACGTTCAGGATCTTCAGTGAAATGTTCCCGTGTTTCATGTCGTCCATGAACAGCTCCGTCCTCCTGAAGTACGAGGCCATCTTCATGTCGGGGACCTCCTTCCTGTCCCTGTACAGGTGAACGTACTCCACTCGGCTCAGCCGGTCCGACGGGTCGGGCTTCAGGTCGGGTTTGGACCATTCCACCGTCAGACCCTGGACATCGAACATGGGCGCCAGGTGACACGGCAGGATGACATCATCACCCGGAGAAGCGATGATTGGAAGATTTGAACCAATCACCAGAACCTCACCTGGAAACAGATGGAAAATTTAATCTCCTGAACTGCCACCACTATAGACTGAAGACCTGAAAATCAGTAACAGCCCCATCAGTCTTTGTGCTGTTACTTTAGTGTCTCTTAATATACGCTACAAAATTTCAGCCATAACCAGTGTGCAGTTGTTGTCAGTGATGGCTGTTTGTTGTTCTGTTACAGACTGACTGAGCCTCGTATGTTCTGTCTGTGGTACTGAAATTCTAACATTTTTAAGTTTTACATAAACAACTTGATTTAATTTGACATCTTTTATTTCATTACTATCATACAGAGCGACTGCTTTGTGTTTACACTGATTCATGCTGATCTTTTGATAATTTGAAACTGATTTGAAACTGATTATTTAACTGCTCCAAATAAAGAAAAATAAGATAAGTTCGGGTTTAATAACCAACTAATTTCATTTATTAAAAATTTTAAACTACAAATCCAGAGGAAACTACAAAACACGCACAGACACCTGATTGGACAAACGAGCCACGTGGGCAGTCAGACGTAATTCCTGATGGGGTCATGATGGCGGGTTGTCAAGCTAATGTGTTTTTATAGAAAACACATTAGCTTGTGGAAACACATGTAGTCAGCAGCAGCATGTGCGGACTGAATCTGCATCACTCCGGATCAATAAACAGTGTTTTAGTTTCGGCTCACCGGACGTTGTGTTTTGTAACTCTGCTCTTTCTCTCCTCTGACAAACACACGGCTCTCATAAACCTGACCTGCTCACAGACCTGCTCGGTGAATCACCGCCATCGTGTCCGTTATAAACAAACCTCACACAGTCAGAACCTGCCTGACAATCTTCTCGTTTTAAGCTTCTTCCGATTTTAAAGTAACTCACTGACAGCTGTCACACTGTTAGTGACGGACAACACAGCACAGCTGATAACAGTCATTTCAGCTTATTCACATCCGCCAGTATGTGATTAAAATTCACTGTAATCTGCACTAACACGCAGCTAAAGCTGGACACGTCGGCTTACCTTGTACGGGAGTCCAGACGGACAAAGCCGAGCACAGGAGAAAAGTCCGGAGTGAGAAAAAGGTAGAGTCCTTAAAGTAGAAGTTGATCATGATCGATGATTAAAAATTCCGTTTTCTGACTGAAGCGCGTTTTTTGGAAAGCTGCAGTCCGATCAGTCCCTGCCTGCTTCGAGCGAATTGAATGAATGAGTTGCGAGGCTCACTCTAAGTCTCCGCCTACGGAGCGGTGTAACTGAGCCCTAGATGGTTATGAAGTCCCGTGATGTGATTACGCAGGGGAAACCCCACAGTGAAACCTGTCTGTCGCGCTTTGTCGCATCACCGAAATTACTACTTGGATCACTTAGAAACTCCGAGTCTCAGTTTGTAACTAGTCTGCTCGGTCTCACTTTCTGTTCAGTTTGAAGACTCAGACATTATAATGTGTCTCACTGAGCAAAAATAAAAACAAGCCGACCTGTCAGGTGAAGTAAGCGAGTCTGAACTTTCATAATAGAAAAACAAAAACGTGTCGTGTCATTAATGACTCAGCAGTATGTAGCACAACATCCACAGACTAACTTGGATATATGACTGTTTTAATCAATCTAATAATCTGTTAGATACAGAAGGTGAGTTTGATCATTTCTCTGTGAGATCAAAGCTGCAGCAAAGATTCAACGCTGTTTACAATGTTGTGATGATGTAACATCCTCCACCTGCCAGTATAAATGCTCAGACATGTCAGTGCAGAGAACAATGGAAGCTCTGCTGGTTAAACTGGTGCTGGCAGCACTGCACTGCTCCTTATATGCTATTAGTCAATACAGATATTGTACAGCTTTCACATCACTGCTAATAATAACCATAATTATAGTTATAATAATATATCTGTATTTACAAATTACAGACTAAAGAGGAGTAATAATATATAAATGATGAATTAAGCACATTTTAATCTATGCTTAATAGTGTGGCATTAATATATAAAGTGCTCCCATTATTTTTAATATATCTAAAATAAAATCAGTTTCTCTGACATTAATTAAATGGATGAATTCACAATAACAACATTGATTAGCTCCACAGAAGCTCCAACAATACGAACATCCTGACTTCTTGACTGGAAGCAGATGACGTGTGCTATCAACAGCAAGGCTCAATAGGAATGAAGTCTCACTCTCACTTCCTCTTCCAGCACATGCGTTTAGCACAGAATGGGCGTAGCTCTGCTGAGAACTAATCTCACTGCAGGCGACCTGGACAATCCTGGCTTATTATAGAGAAATCAACTTCAGTGGGTTTTTACTGTAACACATGTCTGTGACATTTGCCTTCTATACAACAATAAGTGATAATAATCAATAGAAATAAAACTAGCAGTGAAACCAATGAAAATTAAATGTTTTTAAACAATAAAAACAAAGTTGAAATAAGAAAATTTGCTCTGGAAATAAAAACTCTGAAATACAGGAAACTAATTCAGAAAAAAAAATCTCCAAAAGTTGATTCTGTTCATCTGGACGTAGCGCTACGTTTTACCTTCCTGGATGATTGAGGATGCATCAAGACCAGAAAAAAATTGTTTTATTATAACTTATTATAACTTTGTCCTGAAGCGGAGCGACAGCGCTGCATCTGCTAGACTGTAAATCCTGCTTAAGACAACACGTTTGTATAAAATGTAAGTAAACGTGTCTCTCATCAGTTCAGCAGTTTTTTCTAACAGGAACTTCTCTGATTTAAAACCAACAGACGTGATTTAAAAGAGGCAGTCAGCTTACATCTGAAACCACTGAGTCAAAGTTTGGTTTATTGGTGGAAGTTTGACAAAAAGCCTCATAACTTATGATGAAACTATGATTCCTATAAGTGTGATGCGTATTATGATCATACAGAACGCACTGTAAAATTATTAAAAATTTTATGTCTCATTTGACCTCTGACCTCTCCTTCAAGCTCAATAGACTGATCTGTTACATTTTCTGGTTTTACTGTCCAGTAAAGAAACATTGGGTAAAAGAAACAAGATAAAATCAGCTGTGTTATATCTTTTTTTAATTCTAATTAATAATACATGTTATTTGACTTTCAGTTGATGTTTATGAATCATAAACTCAGCTGAATACGCCTGTAGTGCATTTAAATATCCCTGAAACACAAAGAATTTAGAAAAACTACAAACACAGAACTTTCATTCAGTGAAACAACAAACAGGCATTAACTAATGAACAACATACAGCAATGACAATGAAACACAAGTGATGTAATGAATCACTGACGGCACAACAAAGTTTATACAGACGAGCAAAAGAAAGTGAACGATGAGTCAGTCTGATTGCACAAGCAGCAACATACTTACTCTTACTTTTAGAGTGAAAGAAATGTGCAGAAAACCAGCGACAGCCGAAACAGATGATAAGATAACGACGACCACAGAGACCCTGCATCGATGTGCTGATGTGGAAAATAAGTTCAGCACAAACACACAAAAACCCAAAAAGAAATGATGCAGAGAAAAGTTGGACTGTTTTCTTAATGTCTTCTTAACTGTGCACTGCTGTGGATGCTGTTTGCTGTAACACTGACATGATGTTTGAGTCTTTAGTTTTGGTTATAGTGAACCTGCCTCCTGTTTATGAGATATTTGTAGCAGAAGTCAGAGGGAATAAAAAAGGAAAGAAAAAAAAAGCGTATTTGCCATGAGGTATAAATATAATCTTTATGCCGGATCAGTGTGTGAGTACTGGGCTAAAGTGAGGATGACGATCAGTTTGAGAAGAATCAGCCGTAATGTTCAGCATGTTTCCAGCAACGGATGTGTTTCATCAGTGGACTGATTCTTATTTAACAGAGACTCCTGGAGACTCAGAGCACTTTATACAACATTCATCCAGCCACACATAAACTTCTTCTATAATCGAGTGCTTTTATCTTTCTAACATTCTCACTCTGATGGATGCATCAGGGTTAGTGTCTTGCAGGATATTTAGGACATTTATTTTAGCAGTATAAATGATTCTTTATGGCAGCTCAGTATGTGAGTAATGGGCTAAAGTGAGGATGACGTCACTTTTTGCAGCAAATAAAGTTTTCTGCTGAAAGTGGAATAAACGAGCAGACAGAGCTGGAAACTGCTCCGGTTTCAGTTTCTCCTCGTTGGCACAGAGGAGGCTTTTATTGAGGTATTTTAAAGAGTTTACAGCACAGTGTGCAGCTCTCTCTCTCTCTGCTGATAAGAGTGAATGGAGCTCACCCACCTGTCTCTGTCTTTCTTACTTTCTCACATCTCTCTGCCAATCAAAACAGGTATTTATATTTTATTTATATATTTGCATAATATCCGATTGATTATTTGATTTCACTTTTGATACCAGTGTTAAAGGGATTGTCTAATCCACATTGTTCTTTACAATCCACAGCACCAATAATAATGGCCTCTTTCTATCCTTCTATCTAACATTCTCCCTCTGATGGCTGCATCAGGGTTAGTGTTTTGCTCAAAGATAGTTGGCGTGCAGATTTAAGGAGCCAAGGATCAAATCACCACCCTTTCATTTTGGTAGAGGACCTGCTCTACAGCCACCTCATATGGAGAACACAGAGGAACTTGGAATCTGAATATCCAGGAAAGGTCATAGTTTTGCATTGCTCATTTTCACATTTTGTTTGCTGACCTCGGCTCTCTGTTCTTAAACTGGAGTGTTTTAAAGTAAAGTGAACATCTTCACTGACAACAAACCTGCTGTAACTACAAATGGCATCTCCATTTTTAAATCATCAAAAATGAAAAACACTGGCACATAAAAACATGACAACAACACCTGGATCAATACTGTGAGATTATTACACTGTCGTACGTTACATCATACCTCTAATCAAAGAATTGTTGAATCATTATACGGCTGATTAAAGATTGTGAAATCATTATGTAGTTTAAGTTGCATTATACTCCTGATTTAGAAGAAGGTGAAGATTGTTAGATTTATTCACCTGATTTGTACATTATT